GTTTTCCCTGGGGTGGTTTCCTTTTTCCGTCTTCGCTCCATTTTGCGATTCCCCTCTAGGGGTCTATGGTCTTATTAGGGGGGTCCCTATCATGCAGTGGTTGGAGTACTTTCACTCGGTCCACAAGTGTCTTAGCATCAATGCAGTGGTTTCAGTAGGTCCAGTATCTTAGCATCAATGCAGTGGTTTCAGTAGGCCCATGATAAACCAGTTTGCCAGGTTCCTGTTGTTAAGTAGTAGGCAAGTGTGGTAGTATACAGCTGTGGATTGATGTTGAATGTTGCTGATGTTGCTGTTAAAGAGGAAATTACTCTAGAAGCTGTTGTTTCCGTGTTCTTGTTTGTGGTGTGGTGTAAAACTCCAGTGCATCTTTATGTGCCAAAATGCTGGAAGATATTCGCAGACCCCTCATAATGTGTTCCCTCTCCCTCTCTCTCTCTCTCTCTTCATTCACTAGTAATCCTTGGTTGTAGTTGTGCAGTAGAATACGTGCCGTCTCCCGTCTTCCTTCTCCCTGTGTGTTTGTATGCTAATCCTCTTGCTTTGCAAACAGTTCCATCTGTGCAACCGTGTGATTTCCTGGCTGTGTGGTTAATCTTGTGTGTCCACTGATGTTGAGTGGTTGTCCTTCCGTGTTATTGCTCATGGCCAAAGTGTATCCTGTTATGCTATATAGTGATAATCTCTGGGTCTTTCTATGCATGTACACTACAGTCCAATGTACGAGTAAACATACGTAAAAGGACACTCTGAGTAAAGGACACCTCTCTATAAAGGACACTAATTGTTCTGCCCCTATGCTAATGTAAGAGACACCTCTGAATAAAGGAGAACTTAGGATGTCCCTTGGTGAGAAGTTTCACTGTAATTTAGAAAACTTAATGGGTTGGAATGTATGTAGCTCCCCCAACCCTACCTCAATCCCTCTCTTCATCCCCTCACTCCCGCGTCCCCCACCCCTCTAGTCAACTTCCCCAACCCTACCTCAATCCCTCCCCTCACTCCCTCGTCCACCACCCCTCTAGTCAGCTCCCCCAACCCTACCTCAATCCCTCTCTGCATCCCCTCACTCCCTCGTCATCCACCCCTCTAGTCAGCTCCCCCAACCCTACCTCAATCCCTCTCTTCACCCCTCACTCCCTCGCCCCCCACCCCTCTAGTCAGCTCCCCCAACCCTACCTCAATCCCTCTCTTAACCCCTCACTCCCTCGTCCCCCACCCCTCTAGTCAGCGCTCCCCAACCCTACCTCAATCCCTCTCTTCATCCCCTCACTCCCTCGTCCCCCTCCCCTCTAGTCACGACAGCAAGATGTACTCTGCCGACCACGGCCATCAGTGTGACGGTGTCTGTGTGTGTGAGCTCCTCTGTGAGACGGTGACTGCAGTTGCCGAAGATCGCAGTCACTGCGTAGGACTCGCTCCCATAATAGGCAACAGGACAGTTTCATGTGGCTATGTAGACACCACAGAGTTTCACAAATCCAGACAACACTGTTGAAGATTTTGTTTTTATTTATGGTATGCTACATGTGTTATTCATTCTCTTCTGTCGGACTCAATTTTAACAGTCAGTATTATAGTAATTTAGTGTAATGTACAGAACTGAACGAGCATATCATGAATGCATGAGTTTACGTTGAACTGAAAAAGCTCTGATTAGAGCCTGCAGAGCTCTAGTTAAGTTGCAAACTCCGGCTCCCTGGCAGTACGTGAGTGCGCATGCGCGTATAAAGTAGGCGGAGCTCGAGATTCTAATAAATACGAGAGTGTGGGGGTGTGGCTGGACTGCACTCTCTGCACATCTAGGCTGCCTTGAGAACGTTCGGGGCGAGAATGAAGGTACTAGGTGGACTTTTGGTAGCTCTTGCGGCCGCATTAGCAGTTCTCACAGCTGTGAACGCGTCGCCCATGCAACGACGGGACCTGCCCGCCACTAGGAGACTAGTGGAGCTAACCGCGAGGCGACTGGGAGAGCTACGGAAGGTACCGCTGGAGGAAGAGGGGGACGGTGGGGTGTCGGGTCTGACGTGCGATGCGTGCAAGGTGATAGTGGACACGCTGGACACTCTGTACATGGAGAACAGGACGTGGGACGATATGGTGGCCGCCATAACGGAGCTCTGCATCGAGCTCGAGATCGAGGACCGCAACGTCTGCACGCTGGCCATCAAGGAGTTCGAGGTAATGCAACACAGTGCAACTTTCACCGGTCACTTCCATCAGTGTTTGGTTTCTTAGCACATAGCTAAAGTCTCAAAGCATTTGAAACCATACGTTTCATTGGTGCTTGGAAATATAACTAGCTACTAAAAGATTGAAGACGTGTGTGCAGGTGGAGGTGCTGACAGTGTTTGAAAGAGTGGGTCTGGGGAAAAGGAGATCTGTGGCTATGTCGTCGGAGGCTCGTGTGCCAGTGACTACGATCCATGGGAACAGAAATGGAACGTGACCATTCCTGGAGGAAACCCCCAGTTGTTCCTGTCAACCCTCCGAAAGTTAGACGAGTTTCATAATGTGCATTGCTACCATACTCAAGCCTTCATCAGCAACTCTGTTCCATGCTCTTTTGAAGCACTAAAGAGTTAAGACCAGAAAGTCACATGCATGAACAATCATGTTTCAACAGTTTTCACCCACTCACATGCAGGCTCTCTTGGGCTGAAACACCCTGTCTATAATAATATTAGCTCAATATAAGATTCTTGTAACATCAGCGGGTATTTGTGAAGTGTAGACCTCTATCTATAGCTGTGTTAAACGTTGCTGCCTTCATTACGTGTTGTCCTGCACACAGCCTGGATCTCCGACCAACAGGATCCTCTTCCTGACTGACATGCACTGGGACCCCTACTACACTCCTGGTCTCACAAACGACTGTGGAGAACCACTCTGCTGTCGTCCTCCCAACCCCAAAGGTTATACAGCACACTGTGATGGCGAGCAAAGTGTGCCTACTTAGTTATATAGTCTGATTGAAGGATGATGTGACGGGAACTGCACTTACCTTTACAAATACACGCATGAAAACTATATTTGCTCGCTGGCCAAAGACAAATTGCATTCGTTTGTAATAATACCCAACGTGGAGTACCCTTCCTTTGTGTCTGTTGGAGGCATTCTTAGGCTGAGCAACTAACAATAGCTACCCATGTGTGCTTTGGGGCAGTGGAGTACAACTTAACTGGTATAGTTGCCATAATTCATAGCCCATGTGACGTTTTTGATGTTGCATACTTGTGACCTGTGACAAGTAATGAATGATGTTAGTGAGGCATAACTACAATCTGTAGATTTTAAAATTGTTTCACTGACTACATGTTGAAGGGTTCAACCAATACTGTCGTCTCAACAAGTTTTCTCTTCTCTCTGAGCAGCAACAAATGAGTCTACTGCAGCAGGGAACTGGGGAGACTACCAATGTGATGTCCCATACAGAACACTGGAGAGCCTCATGCAGTTCATTGCTGGCATGAGTGATGAGGTATTAGTTATGATATTCAGCTAAAAGGACCTCCGAATAAAGAACACCTCCCTACAAAGGGCACACACACTCTGCCCCATACTATAATTATACCTCCGAAACAAAAATGGAGGACACTTTTAATGTTGCCAAAAGTGTCCCTTACCCAGAGGTTTTAGGGTAGACGATTGGTTGGATTTTGTCTGTACTTTACTTGATTGTTAAACTCTCTTGCCCACCCAGTTTGACTGGGTCTACTGGACTGGGGATCTGCCTGCTCACTATGTCTGGAACCAGACCAGAGAAAACCAGGTACATACTATATAGAGTCTCTCTAAGGGCACACGTGAAAAAAGGGCACCTCTCTGTAAAGCCAAGAGTAACTAGAGGCACCTATGAAGTGAGGACACCACTTTATCTTTACCACAATGCATGTCCAAATGGTGTCCGGATTGGGCAAAAATTGGCCGTGTGGCTCTAAAAATAATGTTGTACACACCACCTTCTCTTGTAACTGCAGCTGTACATAATGGACACACTGTGTGACATGATGAAGCAGTATCTCCCTGATAAAATTGTGTTCCCTTCACTCGGCAACCACGAGGGAGTCCCAGTGAATGCGTAAGTATCTATCGTCTCCACTGATGACTATGCAATATTATTGTGAATACTAGTAGAAATTCAACTAGTGACTCAGAGGTTTCACAGTATAATTTACCTTGTCCCACTGCAGGTTTCCTCCACCGTTCGTAACAGGTGAGAATGGGGACTCGTGGCTCCTGACAGATGCCAGTAGACAGTGGTACTCTTGGCTCAGCCAGCTCCCTGACTGGGACACCACACACAACACCATCACCTAGTGAGTCCCACTGGTATCATAAATGTGCAGGAAGACTTTTCGAGGCGAGAATGTGAGTCATCTGCGGTGGGCATGGACACTTTTCGAAGCTTCCCAGCGAAGTATAAAAGCATTGCCTAACACATTTCTTTCTATAAACTCTTGTTCCTTCCTTCCCTCTATATATGACACAAGAATCTGTCAGTAAACCCAGTGGCACTCCCTACACTCATAAATTTGTCACCACGGAAATGCTTGATATACAGGGCCTCCCAAGTGAAATTTTAAAGTCGTTGCACATGTAATACACACAATCACAATTGTCTTTCATTTTTGGAGTGCTTTTTGAATAACGGTGGATAATGTGTTCATTTCCATTGTTTCAGTGGAGGATTCTACAATGTGAGAGTTCGTGAGGGACTGAGGGTCATCTCACTGCAGACAAACTTTGCCAACAGTGGAAACTAGTGAGAAGACCGGTCACAGTTCAAGAGAGCTGCAATGATTTTGGATATCTCCTTTCTCACTCTCCCTTTTCTCTCTCTGTTTTTCCATTACCTCACCCCCTTTTCTCACCTGCTCCTCCTTCCCCCCTCTCCCCTCACTTCCCCCCTCCCCCTCTCCTGTTATGTAGTTGGTTACTGATCAACAGTACAGACCCGGCAGGTCAGTTGAAGTGGTTGGTGGAGCAGCTGCTCCAGGCAGAGAGGGACGTGGACAAGGTTCACATCATTGGCCACATCTTCCCCAGCAGCTACATGAAGGAGTTTGGGTGGAACTACCACAAGATTGTCACTAGGTGAAACCAACAAGAAAGCCCTCTAACCAAGACGATTAGATATTATAGTGGGGGTGGAAGAGTGTTAGCTATCTCACTTTATTATTACTCCCAACTTTGATGTCAGGTTGAGGTTCCATTTTGATTTGTTCACATAACTACTCTGTGATCTTGTCCCACCACATAACCATTTTTTTCCTGCCCCAATTGGCAAGAGTGGGCAAGATATCAATGTCTGGTATATATAATGTGTGTAGGTTTGAGAGCACAATAACTGGGCAGTTCTTTGGCCACACCCACCAAGACTCCTGGCAGGTCTTCTTTGACGACAGCAACAGAACCAGAGCCACAAAGTCAGTGTGTCTTCACTTACCTTACATTTCCACTTCATGCTTCACCAAAATGTTCTTGTATGCTGTGCTCCTTGGATAATACATAGTCTATGTAGCCATTTATGCATTGCACTATACTGAGCTTTGGTACTTCTCAACCAACCGTCTGTAGTCTGTACAATATTCATCTCAACTTTATGTGCGTCACCATCTACTCAGTGTTGCGTACATGGGACCAGCAGTAACCACCTACCAGGGACTCAACCTGGGCTTCAGGATCTATACAATGGATGGAAACTATAACGGAACCAGTAACGTGAGCACCACTCACTATACACGTGGGCTCCATGTCAATGTCGTGTTTTTTCGCGTGTTATGTAAGCACAGGTATGGATAGCTTTCTTCACCGGGTTACACCTCAGATTAATTAACCCGTGCATCTCACTACCGACCTCACGCCTGGTAATTATTAAGTTTGCGTAGTCAGAAAGAGAGGAAGAAAAGTAGAAAGGAAAAGAAAGATCAGCTCTACCAGTGGGATTTGAACCCAAACCTACATAAGCACTGACACGGGTAGCTTTTTTCATAGTTATTAATCCATGTATCTCACTACCGACCGATTGAAAGAATGGTGAAGAGTGCATAGTCAGAAAGAGAGGGAGAAAAGTAGAAAGGAAAGAAAGATCAGCTCTACCAGTGGGATTTCGAAACCCACAACCTCTTGCTTCCCAGGAAAGTGCACTACTACTATGTACTATGGGAGAGCAGTTTAGTTTGTTTTCACTTGTTGGACTGTGTGTTATTGCTGTGTAGCTAGTGTACCACCAATCACCAATGTCTTTGTCCCATATCCCCTGACAGGCTCTGCTAGACCACGAGTCATACTGGCTGAACCTGACGGAAGCAAACCTCAAAGACAAGGCGGAATGGAAGTTTGAATACTCGGCCAAAGAGGCGTACGGACTCGGGTCCCTGCAGCCACAGGAGTGGGCCAGACTCATCGACAGATTCAAAACTGACGACGCCCTCTTTCAGAAGTTTTGGGAGTAAGTTGACACACAGTTGTGTTTGCTCAACACCATCGCTGGCTGTAATGTGTGTTGCCATCTTTGATTGACTCAAAACGTGCACCGTTTTCAATTGGGGATCTTCAGAAATGAAAAATTTTATTGATAACAGCATCAGATATGTAGAATCGCCCAATTCAGGTGATTGGTTGGGCACGCTTCGCTCGCCAATAACATCTGTTCATGTTTGTAACGTTCACTAATATACACACCATCTAGAACCCCCCCCCCTCTCTATTGTTCCCCCTTTTTCATTAACGTACACAGCTACAAGTACAAGATGCATGCGGGACCGTGTGACGCTGGTTGTCGTGCGTCCGCAATCTGTGGCCTCCAGAGGACACGTACTGACTCCCCCTTCCCCTGCACCGACCTCCCTCTTGGAATGACCATGGACGACGTACTCAGACACCTCGCAAAGGACATCATGTGTTGAGCTAACAACACTATACCCTCTGTGTGTGTGTATGCGTGTGTATATACCTGTGTGTGTATGTGTATATGCATATTATGTGTGTATGTGTGTCGATTTTTATTTTTGAGTTTGACTGGAAAGTTTTCTCCATTGAAACTTCATTATGCTGGACCTTTTCTTGGAAATTTCAAAGGCGGGAGGGGCAAAGTGCAGGTTTGTAAACTGGGATGAAGGCGGACATGAGTTAATCTTAAACGCGAGGGAGAAGTTATCCCTTGCCTCCCCTCCCCACAGACAATCTTCCACATGCCCAATAGCAGTAGACAGCTAACAGTAGATAATACCGGAATAAATTTTATCTGTGCACTAAAAAGACCACACATGCACACACATGCAACGACTGGTGTCTGTGTCTGATATAACATCATCCGCAGTGGTCGTCTGAGCTCGAGGACGGTCGGAGAGGGAGGAAGACAAAGAAACCAGCTCCGGCTCCGAAACAGACACTTAGAAATATCCACCCGTTGTAGGTCATGGCCAGTAGCATGAGGATATACGCCATCCCAATCTCCACCGTTCTCAGTACCGACAGAAGTACTCGCATCAGCCACAGCTTGACTCTCCTGTAGTGTTTGTCGACACACACACTTATAACAATGTGAGCAAACGTCTCTGGTGTCTACTTGTATAGCTACTCGATTCAGGAGTGACAGCATGTTTTCTTTGCTTCCAAACCATGACTAGGTTCTATGTTCCTTTATTGAGAGCACTTGTAAAGGGTCACCATGGAAACTCTATACACACTACACTTAAAGTGTTATGTTTGAGGCCAGGTACATTAGCATGAGGCACACAATCCAGGGTTAATCTATAATTACCTTGCCCTATTATTATTAGAGTACATGTATGTGTTGTTATAGTTATGCCAAAGAGTGTGTATATAACACTCATTGCCGATCTCTATAGGGGAAACTGCAATTGCTTTATAAGTCAAATGTCAGGCAAAAGCTACAGAGGTACAAGAGAGTGGCACACCCCTTGACTATGAAGCAAGAACACGATTCATAGCCTCTGCTCAAAAAGTAAAATGTAGTAACTCACTGTGAAATTCTCATGAATCATGAACCCCCCTCCCCACACACACACACACACCCACACATCTCTAGCTAGGTCATTCTTTGCTAGGTGTAGAGGTAAATCAGTGTATTGTACATCCTTTATGTACAGAGGACACTGGGAGTTCCGTGTGGGATTGGCCTGAAGGTGTCATAGGATTACTGGCCACTGAATGGCACCATCAAGTGCCCATGCAAATGCAAACCCCACCTCTGTGCTAAGGTGGCACAAACATAAACCAATATGTAGAATCAGGCACTCGTGATGTCCAACCACTAATTATACTAACAAATCGTAGGGTAAACTCAAGGGAAGTGCATACAAATCAACGATGAACCAGGACAACTGTTTTTTAATTATTATATATATTATACCTGTGTGGAATGAAAGTGTGTAGATCACTCCCACTCTCTGACAGGCTGTGATGACGTGGTGGGAGGTCAAACGTTTGTGCTCTCTTTGTTATTATGTCTTTGGCTGTCTTGAATCCTTCATAGAGGACACCCAGTGCAAAACTGAATACTATCGCTCCCACCAACCCTGCAGTAATTAGTGACAATTATCACAGAACTAGGAGAGTGTTGCGTTTTGTAAATTTGTCATATAAATTTGTCATATATAATCATAGTCTCTACACTACTTGGTGTCATGTGATGTTGCAACTGGTATGAATATAGTTATATAGCAATGCCCGCTAGAATCAATCATAACACTGGCCTTCCAACTACAGATTATCAGTGGAATTGTATATTATATACGAGCACACCTGCGTCCGTCTGCACGGTCCACGTCCTGAACAGTAGGTGCGGGACATTGCTCGAGAAGTGGAAATACATTCGCATCATCTACGAAACAAGAACAGATCTTAGCTACGTAGCTACTGTATAGCCCGGCCCCCACGGTTTATGGTTATAGTACGAAGAACGCGGCTTACGTCCATGTTCATGGTGCCGTTCATCATCATCTCCAACATCTGCATTGGTACTTAGTATAATAGCTACGTACGTTTCTTCAGACTGGAGTGCTAACGCGAAACGACGCCACTGTACGCGCATGCGCGTGGGCTGTAAAACCTATTACATCATCACACTACATGCCGTATTCGATAATAATAGAGACAACAACTGGTGCTGATCTGAGGTGATTGAGCTAACGTATATGACACTAGAATATCTAGTGGTGGTTGGCACGAGAGGTCAGAGTCCGCCTCCTGATCTGTCCACTGATATCTTCTGTTCATTTTCTCTCTTTCTCTGGACGATGCTGGCCATCCGTGAGTTGGCCACCTCTCCTGTCTTCAACGCACTCATCATCTGCAGATGGTCAATCATTACATTACACACTACTCCCTTCCTCCCTTCCTCTCTCCCTCCTGCACCATTAGACACACATCATCACATGCGAGGTGTGGGGATGTATAATTATACATACGTATCCTCTTCACAAAACCAAAGTGACAACACTAGTGCTCTAAGTCGGTGAAAGAAGGCCTCGGTGCTTTATAAAAATATTTTCTTTATGTAAATAGCAGTAAGAGGGTATACATTATGTATCTCTCAAACCCTGCACCCTACAATCTATATATATACACCCCCATCCAACACACACACACACACACACACACTACACATCGTGTATACCTTTAGGAACTCTTCCTCTTCAATAGTGGCATTCTTGTTGATGTCCACTTCCGAAATAAGTTCCCTTAGTTCCTCCTCTGTCACACTGGCACCCATCTCCTGCACACACACACACACAACACACACACACAACAGAGAGAACACACTTTAGCAAAGTACAGGACAATTCGGCCATTGTAGCACAAAGACATGCTCTGTGAAATGCAAACGTATAGCAGCAAGAGTCATAGACTTTGGAATAAAACTGCAACAATTGTGTGCAAGTGCTGCGTGACTAGTTTTGGTACACCGCCATTGACTGCTCTCGGCTGCCCATTGTTCCTCTGTCAGCAGTGTACACCAGAGCACAATAACATTGCCTTTTCAGGGGCCAATTGTATCAAATCCCAGTGGGTAACGTACATAGGTACGTATACACCAAAATTCACTAATATAAACCACGAGCGTTTAGCTCTCCCTCCCAATAAAAAACAAAAACAAAAAGGAGCAAACTCCTCAAATTGATGGCAAAAAGTGCTGAGTGTGCGGTCTGCATTAGTGATAATTCCAACAAGAACTCAGGTACAAGGTAACCCAGACGACACTGCTCTCACTTAATTAACCCTCTGTGTCATGCTAAATGAAATATTCCGCATTGAGCCGACTAAGTAATAAATGAACATTGAGACGACTAGGTACATAGGCTAGGTTCGCTCGTCAATAACAACCCACATGTAGAGCCTTCCTGAGGTCGTGGATGCTGATGTGTCCGTCTCTGTCTTTGTCAAACTGCCTGAATATCTTCCCGTACTCCTTGGCCTCCTGGTACGAGAGGTCGATGTTCACGTCACGCACCTCCGTCCTTGCCTTGTAGCCCATCGTCTCCAGGAACACCTGCGCCCTCTGCAGCTCATGCTGTGACACAAGATACACACCACATGTAACTACAGTACAACCACAATAGATACGTACTTTGAAGTCCTAAACAACCACTTTTCATTATTCTTAACCTCCAGAGAGATGGCAACCTCCCTGTAAAGGACTAAATGCCTGGTCCAAACGTGTCCATTATTTGAAGGTTCCAATGTACAATACGAATGGCCACACATATTGGCAAGCTAATGCAAGTGATATAAATCTGGTTTTACATTCGTATTTACGTAACACAAGAGACAGGGTACATTCAGATGACTAGGCACTGTAGGAGGCTAGTGTCGCCAGCCAATGAGAGACACTTTAGGGGATAACATACATGTATCTGTGCAAGTTTTTAGTCCATGAACCTTTTGTAGGCATTTAATGCTAACCTCTTTCTATCCCTCGAAGGCTATGTATCATTAATTAACTGTACAAGTCTGTAAACAGGTTCAACGGCACACAGAGAAGCCAAAACAAACAGAGCTGATGGATACATTGTTCCACCATCGTTGCAGAGTGAGGAGGACACACCGACCTTCTTCCTGTTCTTGTCCCAGCCCAGTTCGGCGGCCATGATCTCCATGATCCTGGGCAGGGCCTCGTGAGCCGCCTGGACATTCAGGAAGGCCAGCCTCGTCCTGCGAGCCAGCACGTCGACGGCCGTGCAGGCATACTCCCTCACTGCGTACTTGACCTCAGCTTCAATGTATGGGAACTCCTGGGACAACCGCAGCCCTGACAGGGGTGAGACAGAGCTAATAGTCTTTGGTGTTAGCATCAGTGACAATGCTACCACATTACCATTGTAACTAACTACTTGATAGATAAATAAACAAAACTGGTCCTTTGCAACGAATAGGTTCCGCGCTTGCCAACTACTTGACCTCAGCCTCAATGTATGGGAACTCGCAGACACAGCCGCAGCCCTGTCAGGGGTGAGACAGAGCTGTACATATGTACCAGTCTGTTATTTGAAGATGCTATAGACACAATAATTATTGACTGAGCTGGTACAATGTAGTTTTTGGGTTTGCATCAGTGAAAATGATACCACAGACTGAGTTGGTAGTTTTTGTGTTTACCGGGGAAAGGAGCATTTGGTAACCTACTGCAGCCTTTTTCTCAGTTCTACGGCTTACGTAACGTTTTGCAAAGTTGTGTGAGTGGACAGACCTAGGACTGGCCATCTTCTGCCAGTGAGAGCTGCCAGTTTAGCCACCTCTGGGGCCTGGTCTCCATATGTATTGGCCAGATTCTTGGCCACCTACAGTTGTATATTGCATACATAGAGGACACTGTAACCCAACCAGCATAGAGTAGAGCATAGAGTACGAGAGGGCAGAGAGAGTAAAAAGTCTTTGAGAGTGTAGTTGAGGGAACTGTAAATTATAGTATTGCAATATGCTCTACTCTATGCTGGTCGGGTTATAGTGTCTTCTACTCCAGTATACACAAACTATGAGCTTGCTCACGTCGATATCGAAGCCGTAGTCCTGGATGAGTCTGATGAAGAGGGTGGGAGACCAGCCTCCCCCTCCCACCAGTAAGAACCCGTCGGTCAGACAACCTCTGTCGTCGCCCAGCCCTCCCACCTGGAGGACCACGAGTCACACAGTTTAGGACCCAGATTACGGGCACATTAACGTAACATACATAAACCGCATATTGGTAACATTTCAGCTCATGGTACACTTCAAGCAGCATGGACCGTGGCCCACGGTCCTGAGTGCGAATCCTATACCTCAGCCATTTTTCTCGCTTTTTTCTCCCGTTCATGCGTAGCTACGCTACGAGAGGGCAAATAATTATTATTATGATCAGGAGGCAGGACTCAAAAGTCTATTACAAACACAAAGAATAGGCTGACAAGGTGGCCAGCCTAAGTAGTCCTTGCCCCAAACCAAGTCGAAAAGCAAAAACAGAATGAAGCTAACTCGTAAATAATACATCCGTAGAAAGTTTTGTTGTGTAGTGTATCTATCTATGTATATGTAGATATCTCAACAACTTGGTAACAAGGTATACACTGTAGAAAGGCAAGGCAAGGCAAACAAGTCAACTACACCCAGGACAGCTCTTTATTTTCAAAGAAAAGAAGAAGAGCTGCCTTGGGTGGGATTCGAACCCACGACACTCTGCAGTCTAGGCGAGCGCTCTACCAACCGAGCTATGTACCAGGGAAACTCGGCCTGTATGAATCAGAAGGCAAGGCACGTATGTACATACAACACAGCAGCTGACTCACCTCCACCGCCTTGTCCACAGCGTCTTTTGCCATGGAGCGGTACGTCGTCCATTTCCCTGCAATACAAGAATGAAACAAACAACACTTGTAATCCTACACGGCGCCCGGGACTAGTATAGCCAGTAGTGAGGCACAGTGAGACACACTGAGTTTTAAAATGAACAGGTCCACTGATTTCGTGAGACATGGCTAGGGACACCACATTTAACATAAGAGTGTTTAACACTTAGACACATAAATGTGTCCAGAGCCTCCATAAGTCCATAAGAATTATATGGGGGTTATAATACTAGGCACTAATACTTTATACATCAATTTATGCTTGTTTAAGCAGATACCCATGGTGTCCAAAGGGTTAAATTTGTGCTCACTCTGATTACGAGTGGCTAAGAGCCAAGGGTGGCTCCCATTATGTATACAAATAAAATTTGGACCCTTCAAAATGTTCAAATTACAGTAGAAAAGCAGAGTCTCAATGACGCGTGCGAAATTCTGCGACTACTGCGCCCACAAAAAAACTTTGTCCCACAATTTTAGCAGTGTTCCACAAATAATTTTTGGTTCTTGGTTGACATGTATTACATACAGTAGTAGCACACGTAGTAGGTTGTAGGTAGTGTGTGTAGAGGGTCAGTCACCTCCAGAGATGGTGATGAGTCTGCTGTCCCTGACCTCAATAATGTGGTTCCTGGCCACGCTCTGAGTGTCAGCCTTGTTTGGGTCAAACACCAGCGGACGGATCCCACTCCAAGCTGCCAGTACATCTCCTCTGCGGACTGAGGTGGATACGTATGTAGTAGGTGCATAGGGCGGGGGACCTTTGAACAATCATCAACTCTATCTAGATTATCTGCAGACTATTCAATTGTGATATACACAATATAGCCACATTCTAAGTGCTATCTGTGGAATTTTCAATGCCCAGTATAAAAAATAATGTCAGAGCTACTAGTACAGTCGAACCACCCAGAACTCATGTGAATGACCCCTACACACTGTTTTCTCCGCACTGAAGTGGTTCAAGAAGGTTCTACTATATGGGAAGGAAGTGTTCATTGTGTGCGTGTGTGTGTGTGTGTGTGTGTGTGTGTGTGTGTGTGTGTGTGTGTGTGTGTGTGTGGAGGGTGTTGTGTTTTGTCTAGTTAGAGAATTGATATGAGACCTGACAGATTGGGAGAGAGGTAGGCCTTGATCTCAGAGAGAATGAATTTGATGTCCTCCTCTCTGGGCATGGGGAGATGGGTCAGCTCTGTGGGGGAGTCTGTCGTTCCTGCTATTGTCAGATCTAGTGGGAGAGGGAAGCGTGAGTCCAGGCATGGTACAGTGTGGCAAAAGGTAATGTGGTGACAGCAGGGCATAATGTGTACATTTGGGTCTATTGCCCTGGTATATCAGAAGATCACTTAGCCCTAGGGAGTAGAATGTGTCGCATAATGTGTATATACATTTGGGTCTATTGCCCTGGTATATCAGCTCAGTTGGAATACCACTTAGCCCTAGGGAGTAGAATGTGTCTCGGATTTTCCCCATTTCCTATACTGTGGGTTTTTGCCTTAGTTTTTTCTGCCCATGGACCAACAATGGACATGTGTGGATAAATGGCCAAGGATCCAATCCAATATAGCTCTCAGTTGTTTGTTCATAACATTCACACTCATCCAATCAGTTTTTCGGTTCGACTAGGCTAGTCATTCGTGCCCTGATGAAGACTGACATACCCTAGTGGAAACGTTGGCAATTACTTTATGGTTGGATGAGTGTGTACCATATTGACTGTTAAATAAAATGGCAAAGGCTGGAGGGAGAAACACCAGTGTGTGTATATAGTCTCTTACTCTCCCAGGGAAGAAAGAAGATGACACGTCCGTCGCTGGTGGCTGGGTCCAGGAGACCCATGGTCCGTGGACTGTAGTAACCTGGCAGGACGATGTGTAGACCTGCACAGAGTGACAGGAGAGTGTGGCCCGCATACCACTGATCTTCACTCAACTCTTTGCTTGCGACATGCATAATATAGACACACATGAATATTTAACGAGGGCACACACAGCTGATGGCGATCAAGCAATGCAGCACCTTACCAATGTGTCACTTAGACCCATTAGCATTTAACAAGCCACGGACATATAATGTCCAGAGCCTCCATAAACCCATAAGAATTTATATGGGGCTATAATAATAGGCGTTAATATGTTATACATCGAGATACCCATGGCATCCAAAGGGAATATACCTACCACCACAGGCGTTTTTTTTAGAATGAGGGGGAGGGGGGATTGGTTCTTTGATAATAGGGGGACCAAGGTAATCCAGACAACCACTTGCTCTCATTGCAGTTCAGGGGGGGGGGGGGCAAAGTCATACTATACAGAACACTTTGGCATAGTAACTGTGCAGAAAATGCTAGCTAAGCAATGATCTCCAATTACTCTGGAAACATACATACATATATAGGGAATACGGACACGTGTGTATACACTATAGGTAATACGTACCTGCACTCGGCATCACCAGATTACGAGCCTCAGGATCGTCCATGTGTCTTACCTTGTCCACAAACGGACCTATGTACCACACAACATTGTACATCATCACCACACCATTGTATATCACCACACTAACTGTATTGTATATCACCACACTAACACTAACTGTAGTGCATATCACTACTCTAACCTATTGTACTATTGAAGACAAACCCACCAACCAGTTCACTGGTTCATGAGTTTTTGTCTGTCCTATGTATGCGTATTGTGTCGAAGATTTGAACCCCTACAAGCCCAAAGTTGGCCTGGTAGCTCAGTTGGTAGCAGGGTGCTCGGCTTGACTGCAGAGTGCTGTGGGTTCGAATCCCACCCAGGGTCGAACTGTCCAGGGTGTAGTTGACTTGCTTGTTGTGCCTTTGCCGTTGCCTTTCTATATACCTCATAGTTGACGTACATGTACACCCAGGCATTATGTACCAGTGGCATTGATGACAACCTTTGCCCGCACGTCCCACTCTTCTCCAGTGAGGGCGTCTCTCACTCTTGCCCCTCTCACCACCTCTTCCCCCTCCTCTGACTGGAGAGAGAACAGAGAGCAACACACCATTATTATCGCTCTCCCCTCTTCTCTATTAACTCCATAGGCTAAACTTAGAAATGTTACTAAAAACGGAACGGAACCCAATAACTCTTTCACTGTGCCCCTATTGTTTTGTTCTATCAACATTTATAAATTTAGCCCTTATATTATACTGCCACATTCCTTTTTAAGTTTGCGTTCTATTAGTCCTCCATGAGAGAGGATGTTTGTATTGCGGGGTCAGAAATCGGCAAGATTTCTCTCCACAAAACCTGTGTTTGCTATAAAATAATACATCAAAACACAAAGTTTTCTCCCACGAATGTTTCTCGCTGTACAATAGATGTATTACGTAAGGACGGACTTGTTCCTTGATGATTCCGACGGCCTCCACGTGGTTGGTCACAGTTGCTCCTTCTCTCGCAGCAGTCAGGCCTATGGCCAGGTTCATCCTGGCATCGTTGTGCTGACCTGTACGCGGGAACAGAGGTACGTAGGTAGTTCACACAGCTTCTTATGAACGGAGTATTATGGAGGGGCAAACCTCTTCTTTAGCATACAAATTTGATTTGGTATAGCTACAGTCAGACTGTAGGTTGCAAACATGGGTCTGAGATAATATATGTACTACGTACATACTGTAAGCATGCTCCAAAACATTAGGTTTTGTTCCCTCACAAAAAGCTCTGTTGCACATACATACAAAGGTACTATGCCAAGAGAAAAAAAGAGATAAAAAAGATGCGGAGCTCTGGGGACCTCTGGACAGGCTTGTTGGCCCTCATCAACAGAGCATACCCAACTTCTCTCTCTGGCACCACGAGTTTATAAAGAAGGCTACCAGGAGGTAGCACTTGTGTTTCTGAACTAATGAGATTCATCCCCACAAGGCTTTGCCACTGGTATGTGCTGCTGACCATGCCCAGACATTTGTGGTTTGGAGACTAGGCCTCTCCCCAGTCCCCACTCCTGCTGGTCAAGGCCAAGCCAAAAACCAGAACTCGGCATGTACATCATATCATGCTGTGAGTAGTACAATCCTCAATGGTATCAATACTGGAAGACAGAATTCACAGTATCTCATGTGTGTGTATTTTGTTCTGCACCATTACATAGCGCCGAAATGTTTAGCCACACAAAGTAATCTATGACTAAGTGTTGCAGATCCGCAAAAAAAGAAAGCATTTCAAGAACTCGTCACCGTATGGCACTTTCATGTGTGAGATGTGAGTGACCCTACAATGGCAATGCAGTGTGTGTGAGTGTGTGTGTGAGATGAGAGAGAGAGGGGGGAGGGAGGGAGGGAGGGAGGGAGGGAGAAAGAGAGAGAGAGAGAACTGTATATACCATCGTAGTAGACGATGCCCCCACAGAGCCGGTCGTTCTTCAGCATCGGGAACTCCTCCAGTGCCTTTGACTTGGAGACATAGTAGGAGGATTTCACTAGCTGGCGTCCGGCAATCAAGTCGTAGGCCTTTATGCCCACCCAGAAATATGGAACCTGCCACCATCTGGAGTAGGGGACAGAAGTGTACTAAATCAGTAAAGTGTGTGCGGTGTTGGAAACTGTATACAGTATGTCATACAGTGTACTATGTCATACAGTGTACAGTATGTCATACAGTGTACTATGTCATACAGTGTACAGTATGTCATACAGTGTACTATGTCATACAGTGTACAGTATGTCATAGTATGCTGTGTTGTATACAGTATGTCATACAGTGTACTATGTCATAGTATGCTGTGTTGTATACAGTATGTCATACAGTGTACTATGTCATACAGTGTACTATGTCATACAGTGTACAGTATGTCATACAGTGTACAGTATGTCATACAGTGTACTATGTCATACAGTGTACTATGTCATAGTATGCTGTGTTGTATACAGTATGTCATACAGTGTACTATGTCATACAGTGTACTATGTCATAGTACACTGTATGAAAGACAGCAAACACGTATACGATAATCGACATTCATACAATGTGCTGTATGAGCACTGAAAAAACAAAATGCCAAAATAAATGTGCACATTATAAGCAAATTGCATTACCTTTTTGCACGGTACAGTTAGGGGGTGTTGACACACTGGTTAAAGGGGGTTCACAACAGTTACGTCACATTGCCCGCTGGTGCAAAATTGATTTTATCCTCTCAATGTGGCATGGCGAAACAGAGCAACACAACGTACATTGTGTGTTTGAGTTCAGTCTCAAAGACAAGTGGAACCTTCTCTAAAAACACCTCTCAAAATGAGGACACCTCCAACGAGGACACCTTTTCTTTGCACAAAAAGCAGTAATCTAACCAGGACACCTAACTATTATGGACATATTCTTGGAGAGGTTGCACTGAATTTGATTTCACTCCACGTGCAATTCATTTACCATCTCTGGGATATTGTAGTACCTGTAGACAGGGAGCATGATTGGAAGAGGGGCAGAGAGGTGAGGGGCTATCTTTAGTAGGTTGGCTCTCTCGTGCAGAGCCTCCTTCACCAACTTGTACTGTTCATAGTCAAAATGCTTGATGGCCTTCTCCAAATAACGCACACCACCGTGGATGAGCTTGGTGCTGCGGCTGCTGGTCCCGGAGGAGAAGTCATACCTTTCTATGAGGGCTGTGTTGAACCCTTGGGAGGTAGGGAGGGAGGAGGAGGAGGAGGATCGATTGAGAGCAATGGAGAAGGGAGGGAGGGAGGGAGGGAGAGAGGGAGGGAGAGAGGGAGGGAGGGAGGGAGAAGAAGGGGGGGAGGATGAGGGGTGAGGGAGAGGAAGGGAGTAGGAAATGGAGGGAGGAAGGTAGAACACGAAAGGTAGGGTGGAGGAAAATAGCGTAAACTAGCCAACTAGCGTAAATATAAGCAATTCGAGGGAGTTTTATTTCTTACAAAGTTCTTTCGCCTTTAGAGTTACTGCTACATGTACCAGTATACCTCTTAACACAGAGTCCAGAGCAATGCCACAACCAGTGGCCCCGCCCCCAATGATTAGGATATCAAATTCCTCTCCAACACGCAGTCTGGCCATTTGCTCTGATCTGCATGGAGGAGGGGAGGGGAAGGGAGAGGGGAGTGAGAGGGATTTATAGTGGTATCATGTATCACAGGATAGTAGTAAGTATGATTGATAAGGCGCTTTAGCCTTCTCTCTTCTTACTATCGATCAGATCGTGCCTCTAGGTCTTTATATCTCTTGATTCTCTTTCGCTCTCTTCCTCTTCTCTGCTTCCTTTCTTTCTCCTGTCTTGTCGTTCTGTCGTTCTCCCTCTTCTCTCCCTTCTCCTTCTTCCTTCTTTCTTTCTCTGTCTCTTTCTCTCTCTTCCGTTCTCTTCTTCTTCTTTCTTTCTCCGTTCTGTCCTTCTCTTTCTCTCTCTCCCCCTTCTCTTCGTCCTTCTTCTTTCTCCTTTCTTCTTCTCTTTCTTCTCTCCCTCGTCTCTTCTTCCTTCTTGCTTTCTCCTTTCTCTTTCCTTCTCTTTCTCTCTCTCTTCCTCTTCTCTTCTTTCTCCTCCTTTTCTTGTTCTTTCTCTTTCTTCTTCCTTTCTTCTCTCGCTTTCTTTCCCTCTTCCGTTTCCAGAGTCTCACCCAGCGCCTAACTCCTCTGACTAACTAGGTGGTCTCTATCAAAGAGTGGGAGAGACAATTACTGCATGACAGCATAGCCAACAAAACATTCACTCAACCACATCACTACCACACAACACACCGACTATTATGTAACCCCACCATTAGGCAAGAGGTTTGGTCAGTAGTGATGATGCAGTATTGCACAATAGTCACTGGTGCATAAACACACATATTGGTAGCACATGTCACATATACCAGGTATTCAGTGTCTTAGCATAGTGGAGGGATGTGTGTGCAGTCCAGCGTTGCTCTAACCGCTTGCTACCCACTGATACAGCTAGCCTGTGTTAGGGCGATAAACTGGCTCCATTGACGACTCATGGCCCAGCCCATCTAGCCTACATCAACGCTACAACGCACGCGTGGGTTTGCACTTTAGTGCTTTTTATTTACATGTGGATACTGTGCAGGTACGTATGCATTCTGTTAACTAAGGCAGTGTCTTACACAACCGATAGTGCTACACCGTGCATTCCATGGTTGAAAGTTGGGGGTAGTAAAATTAAACCATTGCAAAATTATTTTCTCTGCGGAAAAATATGTGGTATTATACCTGGTGGGGATCGTGAGGGGAGGGACTGGTGACTCATTGCTGCCTTCAGCAGCACTGAGAGGTTGCTGGAAAAGAGGAGAGAGATAGACTATTAGGAACTACTTATTTATTATTATCCTACACTCACAATAGTCATAAGGCCCTCCTTAGGATGACTAGGGGTATAATTGTTAGGATATCCCCCAAATTTTTTATCACAACCTCCTCCCACTTTTCATGACATCCTATTTATATGTGTATATTACTACTGGTACTATTGGATACAGAGAACAGAGTGACTGTGTGCCAGGCAGAAATGCTGCTGAAAACGGAAGCAGCTGTTCCTCCTACTGACTGGTCTGTCGCTGAAGTAGCGGACTCCGGCGTACAGGGAGCCGCACGCGGCTAGGGAGCCCGCCAGGACCTTCAGCCGCGAGGTAAACGACATGGTCACGAGCACACGCCGTCACCAAGGGGTAGCAGAAGAGACGAACGAAGACTGAGAGGTTTCCTCTCCCGCCGTCGCCACAGAATCGCTCGTTCCCTCGCACGAAGAACAACCTTTGAACCTTTTGAGAACTGCGCATGCGCATTATTATCCTCGTGTGCTGCGCGGACAAGCAGTGGGTGGTGTCAGAGCTGGCTAGCTAGTAGAGAGAGAGCTGCCACTGTGTGCAACTGTCGTCGGGGAAATGTCGCAAAAGCTGCAAACGAATGACGGACAACCAGCTGTTCAATCGGCGACATTCTGTCTCTCGCTCTTGATCGGTCTCCTAGCGGTGGCATCACCTGGCCTCTCGTCTTTCTTCCCGCCACCGGCAGTATTCGGTTGGGGCTGTCCGCCCTGCAACCGCTCCCATTGCCCGCCGACCACCTGCGACGAGTCGCTGCAGCACGCGGACGAGTGCGGCTGCTGCGCCCTATGCGGCAAGCTAGAAGAAGAGGCGTGCGGCGGGCAGGGGAACGCCGGGGGAAGTTGCAACGGGTCGGGTCTGCACTGCGCCTACCGTCTGGGGAGCATATTCGGAGAGGAGGGATTTGGAATCTGCGAAAAGAGTGAGCTAATCACTAGAACGTGCGTGTGGAACTGCATGCCGCAGTGCAGCGTCGGTGTGTCTGCAATCTCTTAGTGACGCATGTTCAGTTAAATTAATTATGAGCAGGTCCAGGCAAAGGCTTACCAGTATAGAAGCAGGAGTACTGGACAGGCAACTGCTTTTTGCTTACTACTGTAGTTAAGGTCCAAGACTTGGAACAAATAATCATACTGTCGATGTACGTACCAACTCGATTTTAGGCTTGGTGAATGAACGGTAAGAACAGGCCTTATCAGGCATGACCTTATCAATCTGTCTAGACAAAATTATAAGGCCATGCCTGTGTCTATAGACAGAAAGATAATATGTCCACAAGTTCTCTTTGAGATTGGGATCAAGTTGAGTGAACATTTGTTTGACACGAACACCAATTTCAGTGTCTCACTGGGTGGAGTTGACCTTTCTCTACGTAGGTCTGTGTCAACGGAGATTGTGTGGCTACAGACAGAGGTGTAAGGTCGTCGTCGGGGACGACGGGAGGGACAGCACGCTCTGCAGTTGCGACCACTTTCTCTGCGACCACAAGTGCAACCCAGTGTGTGGTAGAGACGACAAGACCTACTCTAGCATCTGTCATCTGCAGTTAGCAGAGTGTCTATCTGGACGCCCCATTGGCATCCGCCACTTCAGTCAGTGTAAGTAGATTAGCTGCCACTGTGAGGATTATTCTTTACACACCTCTGACACGGGTCGCCCATGCAAAATGTAATTTCTACTGCATGTGTCAACAACAAGGTATTGAGGTAGAAAGGCAAGGCAGAGCAAACAAGTCAACTACACCCAGGACAGCTCTTCGCTTTGAGGGAAAAGAAGAAGAGCTGCCCTGGGTGGGATTCGAACCCACGACACTCTACTTTCTAGGCAAACGCTCTGCTATCAACTGAGCTCATGCACGTAATTTTGAACAAAGGTTATGTGCGGTATGGGCTGCCAATGGAGTACTTCCAAATGAGAAATTGTCTTCAGGGCTGGCGCCAGAGTTGACCTCTCTTCATGCTCCTGAATAATAATGCTTTGCATGTGAAGCTTTATAGTTTGCATGCTGTTATTGGGACCAAAGAAATTTTGTTGCTAAGGGGGCTGGCTGTCTGTCACCCTGTAATGGAGGTGATCATTGATGACATTATGCACGCATGTGGGCTATGTGATCGGTCTTTATGTCTGTCTTCATCGTCAATCTTGAGACATAGGTTTCTGGGCGAGTTTAACTATCATAAATGGCAAAACAAAACTGACTTGGAATCAACGACACTAACACAGCGGCTAGAAATCCAGCTACAAATGTTGGGTCGTTGCTGCCCACAATCACCTGTGTGCATGCACTCTAATAATACACACAATACCACACGGGGTATATATATATACTGTATGTGCTCTCCAGAGCTCTAGCTTGCCGTGTGTTTCTGTGCAGGTAAAGTAGTTTGCCCTCCGAAGCCAAAGAAGGTCTACAGCAATTTGTACTCTGCCCCTACTCCAATCTACTGCATACACGAGGAAGAGATGTACAGTCCGTTCCACATCCTGCCCCCGACCTCTCGTAACCCCTGCACCTACCAGTGAGTCCTCAACCAATAGACTTGGAACAGAGCAATAACACCCACGCGAGATTTCAAATTCATTAACCCTCGGCGCACATGCGCTGTGAGGGTTACGGTACTTAGTTTGTGAGTGTGTGTGTCTGTCTGTTTGTCTGTTACCGTGTTTTCTGCCACCACGCGCAACAAGAGACAACAAAATAGCGATACCAACAGGTTCATCGCTGCACTGGCTTCATTTTTAAAACGGCTACTGCATTCAAAAGTTATGGCATGAAAAGCCAGTGAACAAGCCAATATTCTAATTAGCACAGGCTTTCTTCAACCAGTCGGCTTGCTCTGTGTACCTAAGAAGTCACAATGCATACAGTTAGTTCTAGTATTCTTATATTGCGACTTTAGGGATACAGTGGAGTCTCCGAATAACGGACACTTTGGTACATATATAGGCCTTTGTCCGTTATTCGGGGTATGTCCTTTCTTGGAGTGTTTTGTTTTATTTGCCTCCCACTCACCTAAAAATGCTCATTCCAGTATCACCTCCGCTTTCCTTTCAACTGACAAATGAGTCCGCTTTTTGGATGCCATGACCTCGGACTCTAGCAGACGGACTGTGAGCACTACGTGTGCTCCGTAACTGGCACGTGAGCATCATGTGCTCGATCGATTGTCCTCCGTGAGCTTTCCCGCCCCGGGGGCCCCAGCAGCGAGCTATAGGCGAAGGTCTCGGGCGAGGTTATGGCGTCGCAGCCAACACCTAGTGTCAGAGTGCAACAAAGGTTTCGTGGAAGTTACTGGAAGTCGTGTAAACCGCGGAGCTGGATATGGCTTGGAGGTTCCGTGCATTTATCGACTCTATGGACCTCGGGCTTATATTGAAAGAATCCACGAGATAGTGCAAACATTGTTAAACAATGGACTACTCTAGCTTTAGCTATTTTATACATGCACATGGATGCCACTGTCCGTTATCGGAGCACTTTTTGTATGTATTTTTATTACTGCGTGCGGACCTCCGCGTCCGTTATTCGGAATTCGGAGGTTGTCCGCTATTCGGGTGCTGCTATCGTATTATATATAATGGAGACGTCAGTCGGTGCATATACCAGCGTCCGTTATTCGGTAGATGTCCGCTATTGGGAGTGTCCGTTAATAGAGACTCCACTGTATTTATAATAGACAAGTAATTCCTTTCTTCCCTCACGTATAGTGTGTGTTCAGGCTATGGCCACATGGAGCAGTATCCAGTGCCGGGATGTGAAGGTAGTAATAGTAACTGATGCTCAGGTGCAATCACTACAATCACTACATTCACCAAACTGTGTCTCAGTAAGAGGGTTAAATTTTGCAGAGCAGGTTTGGTTAAATTACACGATGTAACGAAAGGGTCAAATGACAAGGTTACTTAAGGAAGGGGTTGCAGAATATTTTGAGGATCATGAATGTTGCAGAAACAGTTTTGAAGAGTATGTAATACTGGACAACGGGTCTAAACTTTAAGTTTTGTTATAATAATTATAATGGGAAGGTCGGTGTTTCAACCATTTCTCCCCAGGAACCCCACCGGAGGAGGACTGGAAGGTGGAAGAGGCTGTCATACCGGCATCCTGGACAGAGTGGTCTCCCTACTCCAGCTGCGTGGGGAACTGCGAGAAAGGGGGATGGGCCAATCGGACTCGGACCTGCACTGCCCCGCCCCCTTCCTCGCACGTGGAGGCCGAGGCCAGTGCGGTCTACTGCCAGGGGGAGGCTGAGGAGAGCAAACTGTGCGAACCTGAAGGCTGCAGGAGTGAGTCTGTTTTGTCTTCTCTGTTGTTGACCGCACATGAAATCCAATCAATACGTGCAGTTAGGTGTAAGCTTATTAGCACACAGGCGATATATAGTCGATTTGGGTATGTGTGTCTGTCCCCTGCTTTTTCTAGCAGACCACGGCAGTTCTGAAGCTGAAACATGGACATAATGGTAGCCTGTATTACCCTAGCAAGGAGACGGGAGGGGAGCCTTATTTGTGGTCTGTGTCTTGATATAAAGTGGTGGGGGTCATGCACAAAGTGCTTTTCATTGTCACTTTTATGAAAGCTACTCACCATACGTATCGCCCTGCCAACATGCATACACAGTCACGTATATTATAGATATATATGTATATATGTATGGATTCATGGCATAGTATGTAGCCCATGGTGATTTGTTCAGAGTCATGGCAGACTAGGGTTCCGGCACAATTTTAAAGATTCACGCACGCACGCACACACACGCACGCACACTGACACACACACTACAGTATGCCACATCACACAGTGGAGCCAATGGTCTGAGTGTTCGACCCTGGAGCCGTGTCAGCAGGGCTGGCGGACACGTGAGCGAACCATCACCAACGTGCCCACCGTCCCAGAGCTGTGTGGACCCACTATTGAGAACAGGACATGCCAATTCATTGGACCATGTAGTACGTTGTATTACATTGCCCCAGAAATCCTTCTTTCTCTTCCTTCTTTTCTGTATGTATTATGTAAGTTAACCGCATTTCACATACAATATTTCTCCTTAACGTAATAGCAATCATCTCTTCCTTATGCTTAACTTCTCGCTGGCTGTCCTAGCCCCATGTCGGCCTGATTTTGAAGCTAATTAATTGCTTCCAGGCAATTAGCTCATGTCCAAGTGGCTTTAACTTGTTAATGCCCACCCCCCACCCCCACATATCTCAAAAGAACAGATTTGCCCATATATATAATTATATAGAAGAATTTCTTGTTTTCATGTAATGAGTGTAGCTACATTACCCCAATAATTATTATTGTCATCTCCTTGTGCAACAACATTTTTTTGGGGTTAATTTTGAGATGGAACTTATGACGCTCCGCAGCTACCTGTGACACGAGACAGACTGGGTGGTTTGATATCAGAGACAAACACACCGGTTGCTTCAACAGACGACCAGAGAGAGGGGTGGTCTGCGCAGGGACTTGCGAGCCGGGCAGTTGTTGCAGCGCTGTTTTCGACAAAGAGGATCAGTCCACAGCCATGTACTTCATGATGGACTGTCCAGATCCAAAAGTAAAACCCTACTCTTTGAGGTTTTTTCCTGCCCGTGGACTGCGAGTGCGTTGACTGCAATTCTACTGTAAGGGCTCCAAACTTCTTTGGCCCCCGATGGAGGATCATATTCCGTCCTTGATTTCGTGAACAGTTTGTATAGCTACAGACTGTACATATATTATACTGATGCCATGTATCTTCACAATGTTACTCAATTCAGCAAATATCGATCCTGATTACACCTTTTTTCTTATCCTTTTCTCCTCACAATGAGTATATTATCATAATTGTATGTACTCCATTCGGCATGTCCTCGATTTCATGTTCATACATTAATATATCCCCAGTTCCATCTACACAGTGATTCTATGTGATTATGATGACACTGCCTTCATTGATAACCCTCGGCGCACATGTGCAGCGAGAATTAAAGTACTTGGTCTGTCTGCCTGTCTGCGTTACCGGGTCCGCTTGCTCTGTAAAATTATCTCGAAGGCACAAGAAGTCACAATGAAGGGCATATTGATTCCCGCATGCTATCTGCTACTGTAGCTATATAGCTAGCCCGTGTCAGACTCTCCGCGAGCTACATACTAGTGTGGAGATCACGAGTAAATGCATACTCTTGGCCCAGCCCATCAATTATATAGCAGTATCGTGTATGCGCAGTTTGCCGAGGGTTTGCAGTGATTGTACTCAATTCAGCAAAGTTAGTGCCGAGTAAGCGGGTGATATATTAAACAAATGGCTTGTGCCCACACTGCATACGTACAGGTGGACGTAGTAAATTTGATCCAGAGCAACCCGGCCGGCACTAATGTGATATACAATACATCCTAACGGCAGCTGATGGTGGAGGCGAGCCCTGAAGACGACTTGTGTAATTCTGTGTTGTGCTGTAGTGTCAGAGTCCATTGTGGAAACAATGAAGTGTCCAGGCTGGGTGTCCTACAGCGAAGCTGCGAGTAACCCCTCTGCTCCTCCATTCACCCCCCGCAACTGGACCTCAGTCTCAATGGAAGCCATCTGTGCTCTTTACACTACTCCTCTCGAACAACAGCTAAACATTATGTTCAGCTCCCTCCCATCGTCACAAATCCTAGCCCACAACCTGGACCTTATTGACCTCAAACTCTCCACCTTAACTCAGGCTCTTCTCTTGGTGTCCAAGAATATCCCTCCAAAGAGATATCAACCATTTAAGCGTCCCGGCTGGGGTCCTACAGCGAAGGCTGCGAGTAGGAGGTGTAAACAGGCTTACAGGCTCTGGGTTCATGCTGGCAGACCCCGTGACCCAAACAATCCAGCTCGGCTATCCTACAAACATTCTAAGAAAGAGTTCAGAGCCCAGTTACGGCTACAAAGGAAGCTCGCCGATGAAGCCTTCTACAACTCCCTCGACCTTGACATGGACCCCCACAGTTTCTTTCAGTCCATTCGTCGCCACACCAGCTCATGTGCCAACAGACCAGTAACCAGTTATATCAACGTGGGAGGCACCTCCTTTGAGGGCCCTGGAATTATTGAAGGTTGGGCACAATACTTCGAAGCACTCAGCACACCACAACAGGGAGCATCGGGTACACATGACTGTCATCTAGAAATACTCCGCCTACTAAGGAACTCCCCCACTACTGAACTGGTCCTGATTACTGTGACCGAAATCGAAGACGTCATCTCATCCCTTCCGTTGAGAAAGGCAGCAGGTTATGACCATCTTACCAATGAACACCTGAGGTTCGCTGCTCCCCCTGTCAATGACATCCTAACCATCATCTTCAACTCGATTCTCCTCTCTGGCCACATCCCGACCTCATTCCGTCACGGTTTAATCGTTCCCATTCCTAAAGGTAGAAACATTGATGTCTCTAATCCATCTAACTTTAGAGGGATAACACTGCTCCCTGTGATCAGCAAGCTATTTGAGAAACTTCTTCTATCTCGCCTGTCCAGCCTAATGTCGAACATCCACCCCCTCCAAGGAGGCTTCAGACCCAAAACTAGCTGTATCCACACAGCTTTTGTTTTACAGGAGTCGATTCAACACCTGCGGAGTCACAAGAAGAAAGCCTATGTAGCTTTCTTGGACGTCAAGAAAGCATATGACACAGTTTGGCATGAGGGACTACTTCTGAAACTCCTGCAATTCAACTTCCCCCGTTACATCTGGTCACTCCTCCATAACTGGTACACTGGATGCACCTCCTCAGTCCTGTGGAACTCACATTTCTCCCGATCCTTCCCAATCCGCCAGGGGGTGCGGCAAGGCGCAGTTCTTTCACCATTTCTGTACACAATCTTCGTAAACGACCTCCTGGTACAGCTATCCTCCTCTGGGCATGGAGTCAAGATTGGTGACATCTTCTGTGGAGCTCCCATGTACGCGGATGACCTAGCTCTCATAAGCGATTCTGAGACAGGTCTCCAACACATGCTGGATATAGTGTCACTGTACGCTGCTAAATGGAACTATGAACTGAACGCTAGGAAATCGGCAACTGTGGTGATTGGAGAATCCAAAAACTCGAGAGATCTACTCCGCCAGTCAAGAAGATGGTATGTCTCTGGAGAGATAGTGCCCGAGAAAGACATCTACCACCACCTAGGCATCCTCCGCTCAGTGTCGGCATCCACTCTCCAACGAACTACTGAGCGATGCAGTGCAGGTAGAAGTGCATTTTTCAGCTTGAATGCCATTGGGGCCCGCTTCGGTTGCCTACACCCTGCAACAACTCTCCGGCTCTACAAGACCTTCTGCATACCTATCCTCCTGTACGGATCTGAATTATGGCACATCACCAAGACAGAATTGCTCCTGCTCGAGAGAGTCCATCGAAGAATATTGAGAACACTTCTCGGCCTCCCAGTCCGCTGCAGCACCAAGCCCTTCTCCACATCTTGGGAATTCTCGATGTCAAGGCCCTCATCCACCAAAGACAGATGAACTCCTATTCTCCTTCTCACGGTTACCCTCCGACTCACTCCCTGTCCAGCTACTGCGCATACGTCTGGAGAACCCACCACCAACTGGGTTGATCCCCACACTGCAGAACACCCTGGCTCAGTATGGATTCCCCCCTACCAACATCATACTTGCTGGCCATTGGAGCCAAGGTGGGTGGAAGAGGACTGTCAGACGTCTGCTGCTGGCTGAGCAGTATGCAGACTTCACCTCTGACTGCAGTCACCTCCCTCTCTCTGAATGTGCTGAGCTGAAGCTGGGCAGGATCATCCCCCACCTCTTAGTCTGTCGCGGGTTCCCACGTGCCACGAAACTGAACATAACGCGAATCCGATTGCTAGTGAACTGCCATGGTCTCGGGACAGATACATGCAGATTCCGGAACAACGTCCAGACCCAACATGCAAGCTATGCGGATCCGGACCAGAAGACACTACTCACTTTATATCTCACTACCCCGCCCTCTCCTCTGCCCGTATTCTCCCGCCTCTGCTGGCGGCCTCCGACCTAGCGCCGTTATTAGACTCAGACCCGAACGGTTTTGCGGAACACATCCTGGGAATTCGCTGGATCGAGGATCCGCCACTTCAGAGAGAGATCGTTGTGTTTCTACATCGTTTACACTCCGAGCATCACCGTCAACTACTCGCCCTCATATAATTGCCTACCCCATAGGCTACTCTCCTTCAGTGGAGGTTACAAAGAAGAAGAAGAAGAAGCTTATGAATAAATTCATAAACAATTACGTAGAAGCGCGCAGGTGTATATACATGCGGTTAGACTGTGACGCGACGACGGGATCATCAACTTAACCCTGGAGTAGGCCTGAGACTATTATTCCCACAATATGTCCGGATATTCTATTCTGAATTTCCTACTCCACATGCCTATTATTCTTTAGTTTACCCATTATTCACAGAAATTTACCTATTATTCTGCTTCAAAAATGAAAAAAAAACTAGTACAGAGCAGGCACATAAATAAACATCACGATCATTGTACTGCAACATGACGCGCGTCCACTCGGCACTCACACTTCGCCCTTCCGCGAGTTCCGAGTTGCCGCCGTTGCCCGCTCGTCGCAACTTTCAACCTATTATTCTTGGAATTATTCTTATTCCCAGAGGGACCTATTATTCCCGAAATTATTCCGGAATAATCGACGCAGGCCTACCCTGGAGTCATCCGGTGCGCATGCCCACTAGCTACCCATGCCTCCTCGGCCTCCGATCCTAGCCTAATAATTCCGAGCCTACTGCTACGCGCAGGTTATTGCAGCAAAAAAGACCACGGGGTGAAGAACTATGACCCCTGTACTCACTCTGCGTCTGACTGCGACTACCTGGTGCACCTTGACCAATGGTAACATGCTCCCTTTCGCTGGGCGAAGGAAGGGAACAACTAGGTTACCCTCGGCGCGCATGCGCATCGAGGTGACGGTAATTGGGTTGGGTTCAGGGTTCTTCCTGTACTCATCTTATCTATAACTGTTAACTCTAAGTAGCCACCACATGGGAATCTGTAGGAGCACTCAATAAGTGTTAGTGTCTAGTGTAAAGGCATGTAACAATAGACCATGTGATGCCAAGAGAAAAAAAGATGCAGAGCTCTGAACAGCTGTTTCGGGCTTGTTAGCCCTCCTGGCATCATGAGTTTATAAAGGCAAAGTTGAGCTCAGCACTTGTGGTTTTGAACTAATGAGTTCATCCCCACAAGGCATTGCTCAGTCGCAGCACTTGTGGTTTTGAACTAATGAGATTCATCCCCACAAGGCGTTGCCAGTACAGCAATGCTGACATAGTGGATTGGGCCGCAACAATGAAGCCAGCAAGCACCCATATCCTGCCAGCGCATACACACATAACAATAGACCATGTGATGCCAAAAGATTATCCTATTCACTGTCTTCCTTCCCTCCTCCTTCCTTCTGTCACCTTCCACCTACATCCTGATTAGTTGTATCATACACACTATACTGTCTTATGCACCTCGTTATGTATAAAAAGTTCGAGCCCGGTGGACCAGTATGCACATCCACACTTAGTCTAGCTTGCGCCCCGCTGTCTGCACGCAAATGTGATCATTGTGTTCCTGAAAAACTAACATTCTGCTCACTATGTGAAAGAAAATCACACTGAAATTGTTAACTAGTGTTTCGTGTTTCGTGCAATAATTATAGGTTTGCATGCGAATGATAGTGCTTGTAATTACGATAGTTGGACCAATGCCGTTGTTAGCTGGTCGGCCATAAGTGAGAGATCGCAGTCCCTCAGAGTTGCTATGAGGCTCTCCCACGACACCTCCACCCCCTTCCCTGCCAGCCACTCCCTCAGAACCTCTATTGCCATTTCCTCCGGGTCTTCACGTACCCTCTTTCTGATGTTGGCCACCTTGTTCCCGAGGTCATCTTTGAGAAGAATGGTACCAAATGCAGTCACTTTGGGCCCAACTTGTGAGGGCAATTTAATCTTGATCAATTGTGGCATTGTAGGCACTGAACCTGAAACTACAATGGAATCATACAAACAAGCTTATTTGAACAAACTAACATACTTGATATTGGTGAAGCTGCAAGGCTTTGTTTCATTTTTTCCTGCGGATCTTCATGTGTTTCTGGACCTGCATGAAGCCATTTCACTTAGAAAGTGATAGATGCACTGAAGTGCCTATCTTGAGATTTTTTCCTATTAAATATAGCTACTCAGTTTACTCTCTGGATTCCAAGAAAAAAACAGAGACTCTGATAAGGCAAAGTGTATTAAACTTTCTTCAGGGACTTCTTAGAGAGATGAATAATTAGTTTTGACATATGAGCCACAGGCAACCTCGCTTGAAGAAGCGACTACGATGAGACAACTAACTGTGTCGGGGGTTAAAAGTTCGTTCGCTATATGATATCATAGTGCATAGAGCTACTCACGTTCATTGCAGTATGGCGTGGCTTTCACTTGGGAGTGTTATTCCAACAACATGTCATCTAACCGGCATGACACAACTAACATTTACTACAGAATGTAGTCTGTTTGGATAGGTAATTTTAGGGTAGCACAAATGCCTACTCCAAATACTTGACACAAGTCAGCCCCTCTGGAGCAAGTCAAAATCCCTATAGAGTTTACTGGAACGAATGTAATGCCAGTGAACGTGATAGTGTTGCTGCAATACAGTTAGGTGATAAATAAAATCGTGTAGGATATTACGGTAAGGGTGACAATGCCAGATGCAACTTACAGAAGTAGCATGCACAATTCAGCAGACAACTAAATATAGGTAGGTTCGCTTCACTCACCAACTACATACTATGCATATGTATGATGTATGCATTGGCTTTGATGCACAGAGGATCTGGGTGTTTCTATGCATAAGCCTAACCTCTGGGAGCATTTTGCGCAGGTGCAGTTAGCTGCAACTAGCAGAATTTCACAACTGAGTATGATAGTTGGCTTTACTATTATGGCCGGCCCTGCATGAATATCAGACTCACCACGCAGGAGCTCAGATTTGATCTTAGTACATCTTCCGTACACATCAACTAGTTGTTGGTTTACTGGCAGACAAGACGCTGCCTTCCTGATGTGTCCTCCATCGAGGTAGATGTGAAGATATCCATCAGCAGAGAGTAGAACACCAACTTTTTTGGTTAACTTCGAGAGAACTAAGGTCAGCAAGACCGGATTGAATTTCCCTTCCGTTGTGATATAATGATGAATCCACATAGTACCAGTCTGTGGGTCCAGAGTCACGGCCATACAATTCAACAGGCACACCATCAGGAAGAGTGGCGGTCACTCCAATTCCCTGCGTGGAGAATCGGGTTTTACATAGTGAGGAGTCTCAGATCCATACAAGTTGAATAGAACCCAACCGTACACTAGTCTCATGACAATTATTGTTTATAATGCAGCTAGTATTATAGCGTTTGGCTGATTATGACGTGTCCATTGCAATTTACATAATTATAACTATAAAATGAAAAACAAAAACTGAATGCACTTGGATTTACTTGTACACCAACAGCACAATTATGTAGGGACAGAGTTTAACTTATGCACTGATCAAAGTCTAAACCACAAGTAGCTAACCTGGTTGCATTACTCACAGTGGCTTGCACTCGTGCATATATAGTAGCGACCACGTGCATTCGCCTACTATACAGTCACTTACCAGTCCATTAGCACCCTTTCCCGAGGTTTCCAGGACAGTTGTCTGCCAAACTTACCCTACAGGCAGAGGATGGGATGTGCGACAAATGCAGCCTCCGTCACGTTCCTCCGGATCTCGCCGATAGACGAGTGTGTATTAAAGGCAACACTGCTTTATACCCGCACTTTCTATTGCTCAACGTTTCAGGTGTGGCGATCCAATCAGAGACGTCCGCTGTTTAACCGACGACATCTTCTACCAGTGCGCACGCGTCGCGGTCGACGTGAGACGGATGCGCACGTATCAAGAATGCGTAAGATAACACGGCCTCACCTATTATACTACAGTTCTGTCTTTTTAAAAAAAGGAAGAATGAGTGCACTTTTTGGAGTATTGCTCCTTGGTAATTCTATAGTATTCGCTTTTGCTCAAGGTGGGTATATACCTCCTAAGTACCACCTAAACATGGCCTCTCGGCTCTTTTCCAGGGATAATAATTCATGGTCCTCAGAGCAAAACTGTCTTTTTAAACCAGACGGCAGCGTTTACATGTGAGAGCAATGACTTCATCACTCGCTGGTATTATGGTACAACTTTCCACCTGGTGACCTGGTCCAGTATTCACAGACTTATACTGCTGCGGGAACTATTGTGATGCATCTGAGTATCATAGCAAGAGCTGAGTACAATGGAACTATAGTTAAATGTTTAACACTGTCGTGGATTGGTGACCAATATATTTTTGAAACTGAGAATGCCACATTAAACATTCAAGGTATTAATTTTAGCCATTTCTTTCATGTTTTATCGCACTTTTTTGGTAAAAATTGTATGTAGGTATACTGCTAGCAGTATTCAATATGGAAGTTACATATGGTGCAACCTCAGTTATCATCTCATGGACACCTCCATTTTCTCTGGATGTGACTGATGTTGATCCTGATATCTGGTACTCTGTGCTGGTCTACAATGTGACGGATGAGAACAACCCGACAGCCTTCCCCTGTACTGGCTGTATCAATATCACTGAGACACACTACACCTTCACTCCTGACTACCTTAGTCCTTGTCATGTCTACCTCATTACTGTAATCCCATTCAATGGAGCTGGCCAGGGAGAGAGTAGTCCTAATGTCACTGTCAGTGAGTTAACCGCATTATTCTCCCTATACTCTAAAGTACGTGCCTTTTATGTTTTGCAGGCAAGCCTCCTTCAATCAGCTTTTTCAGGACAAATCTAAAAGCTGTTTTTGATGTGGTTAATGTCACATTTCAAGTTTGTGTAAGAGTTTTACATAATATTGTTAGTTACGCTATTACCCCCTCTCACTGTTCACAGGGAGATGTGGAACAAATATGTGGATACATTCTCCATGGAGTAACAGGACTTGATAATGAGGCTGTACAATTCAATGTCTCAAATTTGGGGGATGAAAGACATTTAGTCTACACATTGCCTGAAAATGAGTATTTTTCCATCTTTTTTGAAGTGTTTACCACTGCTGGGGCAATGAATGTATCTTTTGACAACTTTTGTAAGACATGCCATTGTTGTGGCTTTCAATTTCCTTTGTGTTTACAGCAACATATGATGTCCAGAGTCTGTCAATGGAAGAGGAAAGAGGAGGAGGAAGAGGAGGAGCAAAAGTGAGAGGAGGGTTTGTGAGTGGGTCACAAGCTGCAGGATGTCTGGTGATCCTCCAGGGACCCCCTACCTTTCCTGACATATTCAGAGCTCTTCTTAGAACCCAGTCTCAGGACATAGTCTCCACCACTGTGCCTGTCCCTCCCTCCACCTACACTGTGTATGGATATGATGTGGAGGAGAATGACCTTCCATACACAATGCCTGCTGTTGTACTGGAGAATCAGACCATAATAAACTCAGGGATAGATGGTAACTGTTTATCGCAGACTACTCAATTTAACCTGTGCTGTTGATTTACTGTTTAGGGCTTGCCTAAATGTACTAACGTTTCCTTTTTAGAGTGATTTTTTATTTACAGTTATGGAATCAGTTAAAGCCTCCAAAATACTCAAGAGTGGCAACATATCAAGAAGCGGGTCAACTGTTGTGATAGACTGTCAATTCTCAGAGGTGTCTCCACAGACTGCCTCGTGTGTCCTTGTCTACAGAGAGTATGGGACGCCCCTCCTGACAGTGGTAGACATGCCTCACCTCCTACATTTCCCTGTCTCTCTGGCTGTTCACTCTCCTGAGAACTACACATTTGCCTTGTTTGGAAAACACCCTGTGACTGGAATGGAGGAACAGCCTCTCCTTACTCTCAAGCTCAGTGATGTAACAGGTGTAGTAGATATGTTAGAATGAAATAAAGTCTAATATTCCTCTCCAGATAAAAAGGAGGAAACAGTGAATGGAAAAAGCAATGTGGAAAATTCCCAAACAGAAGTAGTTGTCATATCAACTGGTAAGGCAGTCAGACGGGAGCATAACTTACCCTTCTTTCAGTTTTTTCAGGCGCCGCAGTAGTTGGATGTGTTCTAGGATGTGGCTCAGCTGTGTTAGTCCTGGTGGTGGTAAAACATTGTCACAGAAGAAGCAAGTCCAGAAATGCAACCAATGCAGGTAACATTCTCAAGAGGTATAGCTAGTACTGTGGAATGAAGTGACTTTGTGTGGGTACTACACAATTACTTAATAGGGTGTGTGTGTGTCTGCCAACATCATTACCTCCTCAGGGGCAGCTCGTCAGATGAGAAGTATGCCAGTGTATGATGAGGTTGTTCTTCCACCGACCACCTCCTCTTCTGCCATACCAACTGAACCCAACACGGCCTATGTCACCACCACAATGTCTCGGAATAATAATATCACAACTGACCATAATGTGGCTTATGCTGCTCCTTTATAAGAACGTGATTGTTTTTTCAAAATAATGTTTGCAGTAAGACATACATGTTCACCAAGTGGCATAGCACAAGGGGCATAATTATTATTTCCACGCACCTATATAGTGTTGAGAAAATGCGCTAGTACTGTTGAGTGGAATAAGTAAGGTGTTGCTGTTGGCGGCAGTGATCCTCCCTCCTTTTTCTCCAGACCCCCCACCCCCTTCTCTTACTCTACTGCTACATAAAAATGTGCTCATATGAGAAGTGCTCTCTTTTCTTAAAATGACAGCGTCGCGAATCTTGATGACATCATGGGGCTCTTCAGCATAACAGAGAACGGTGCCGTTTTGCTGTCAACTGAGCATGCCTAGCCTTTGCGAGTTTCTATTATGGGTTGATAACATTCCCTCCTTGTTGCTATATACTACTTTATTAATCTGTAAAACACAAGGATGGCGACATTGTAATGCACTTCGCATTTAAGTGGCTTGAACCATCCCACGATAGCATATCCAGCTTTCCAGATCTTTGTCTTTTTGACATAGAAAAACCATTCGACTCGGTGGAGCTTCCCATTCTGCTACAACATCTCTTCAACATTGGAATCAATGGGAAGTTGTGGAGGCTAATAAAGAACTGGTACACCAACTCAACAAGTCGCGTTCGTGTCAACAACCAACTATCCGAACCTTTTACTGTTGAAAGAGGGGTGAAGCAAGGCTCAGTTCTCTCCCCCACCCTCTTCCTGATTGTAATGGATCAACTCCTAAAGCAGCTGAAAGAGAAGAAATGTGGTCTCTCTGTGTGCCAAACCTATGCTGGGGCTGCAATCCATGCTGATGATCTGAGAACCTCCGCCGCATCTAAAGAAGTCATGTGTGATCAAGCCAGGGAAATCAAAAAATTTGCTGAAGACAATCACCTAAAACTTAATGCCTCAAAGTTGGAGGTTGTAAGAGTTTCCCGACATCGAAAGGACCCGGAAAGGTTGGAGCTCGCTGGTGTCGTAACAGAAACAGCTCCTGCCGCCAAGTGCTTGGGTGTCTGGTGGCAATACAACCTGTCTGCCTCCCGTTCTGCTCACGAGAACATCAGCAAGGCTAGAAAAGCCTTCTTTGCACTCGGTAACATCGGTGCGTTTCATGGAAGTCTGAACCCTCTCTCGGGTCGCAGCATCTTCGAAACATGCATCATACCTATCCTGCCCTGACGTGGTTAACCATCTTTCACGCGATGAAATCATTTCTAGGCTGAAAGAGGTGGACATGGAGACAATATTTTCAATTACAGTTCTAGACTAAACCGTATATTTTCTGCCACCTAACTCATTTCCTCTTGTCATTTTTATTTCTCACTATAGCTCTGTATGCCAATGCCTTACGGGTCGTGCTTATGAAACTTATGAACTTATGAAACTAGTTGCTATGGTGCCGAGCGCGTCATTCGTAGGAAGTCTAGCTTCCGCCGTGCGTGCAGATTCGTAGGGAAGTCTGGCTTCGCGCGCAGTAGAGCGCGCGCACGAGCAGCCTCAGTCGGACTGTTACGCATTGGCTGGCAGGCGCGAGGCAAAATATGCCCGTGCGCATTCCTAGTTACTAGTGACACATTGACCTTTAATTATGTGTCATGATAGCTACGTGTAATGCTAAACTGCTTAGTCTTTCACTTATTGTAAATGCATGTGCACACAAACAACTCCTGTCTCTACCGAGTCATCGTTAGAAGCACTCCACCATACGAACGAACAGGAAAACCAGAGCGCTCAACGTGAAGCGCTCACTATAAATAGTTACACGCCGATTCCTCGGTAAGGCCACTCCAAGTTGTATACCGGTTTCTGGTCCGCCGCCCGCACCCAATTTCAAGTGAGCGCAGTTTTGGTCATTATTCGCTACGCTTGTGTGTACTAATGATTTGTACTTGTCCCGTTTTGACTGTCTTCCCAATATGAATTTTTGTGGTCATATTACTAAGTGAACTAATGACATAATGAGTAAACCCGCCCGCCCGCATCTTGACTTGAAAAGATTCTGACCAGAAACCGGAATGCAACTTGAGTGGCCTAACAACGCGCCGGTAGAAAGCCTCGTGCCCTGGGGGTAGCGCCCTGGCTGTGCTCGGGGCGCCACAATGCCGGGGCTCTCGGCTTTCTACTGCGCGTAGTTACCTCGAGTCAGCGTCTAGCTAGCTACTGTGACTCCAAAACAATCAGTGTGGAAAGTGCAAAAATGCTTGTCCAGCATTATTTTGGGCTTGAATAAGTTTTGGTACATGTTACCCGGCAACGACGCATTTTATTGGCTTGTAGTAACACCCACTTAGCTGTACTAGAGCTACTTCCTAATGAACACCCACTTATGGATTTCCTTATAGGGAATTCAGGCATTGAGCATGTACTGTCAAGGGCGGCATCCATTGTTCTGTAGTCTACAGAGATGTTTGATGACTGTATGCGCTCATAGAGCACACCTGCCGCCATCATAAGACACAGGGATTAAATATAACGCTCTGTCAAGCACCTTATTTACACGTTACCTCATCTTCGGCCTTTGTTATTCCCAAGTTTTCAGCTTCACCATCCTCGCTCTATAGGAGAAAAGAGACAGCCATAGCAAGCAATGCAGCCACATATGCTGGTGTAAACCCATAGAAGGGAATTCCACAAACGTAAACGCTCTTCCTATCATTTTACACTTTCCTCTGGCTTTATCTCTCCCCTTCTATATAAAAGAACTACCTTATCCTATAGCCCACATTTTAAATGGGTCGTAAATCACTCTCAACTGTTTGGTTCCAAATTCGATACATCTTCCTTATAATACCTCTCACCTGACGTACAATTTCTCACCTTCTTGGCTTTCAACATTTTGTCTTTTCCTTTTAGTTCTTCAGTCAGTGCCTCAATGCTCGCATCCTTCACAGACAGCATACTGATCCTTGCTTTTAGTTCCTCCTGTAAAAAAATAAATTCAAGTAACCATTAAAACATGCACACATGTAAAGACAAGCCTGAAAGACAAGGCCCGTTCATCATTTCTACCTAGAGTCATTACGTGCAGCCCTTGTTGAACTTGTTATTGCACATATCAAGCACACTATGGTCAAGTGAAAAAAGCTCGACTTTTTTCATACTCACTTCAAGACTCCGGGTTCTCCTCAGGCCTGCCTCAAACTGGGCCTTTAGTGACACAAACTCAGTCTCCTTTGTTGACAGAGCGGACTCTTGAGTTGAAAGCAAACTATCTTTGTCAGCCATCTGCTGTTTCAGCAGCGAATTTTCCAACTGCATTACATGCACCATTTTCTTTTTTGCTTGGCAGACATCTTTCAAGCCCGACTTCTCGGCCTACAACAGAAGATTTAATCAGTATTGGAACTTCACCCTCACATACTCACACACTGACCTTCATTTGAATAATATGTGATTGAAGCTCCTTTACTCTTTCACTGGCACTTGAATTCCCTTCGAGCAACTTCTCCAACTGCAACCTTAGGTGAACAACATAACATTCATGGACAGAGAACTCAATACAATATCTTACTGAACTACACAAAATCTTATTATTTGACTATTTACCTGACCATGTTCAGGATACAGAGACTTGAGCTGAGCCAGCCAACATAAAACTTTTGTAAGTATATTATCTTTGATATGGTTATAGACCAAACTTTAGCTGAAGCAAACACTATTATTATAGCTCCACTTGCCCAAAGAATACTAGTACAGGGCAAATTATCTTGGATCATTATTATCACCATAAACATGCGTATGTGCATGTGCATGTACATATGTCTCAGTCACACTTTGCTTGGTCCACCAACTAAAAAGTAGAGTATTTGTGCACACACGCATTCCTTGCAGCGGCACTCCTACGCATTCCAGTTGTAGAGTGATGATATATCTCACCTGTTCATGCCCTGGTATGGATCTTGCTGAGTTTTCTTCATGCTGTCTAGTTTCTCCAGTGCCTTTTCAGCTGTTGGTCGACTTGCAGGCTCATAGGCTAGGCACTCTTTGATGAATACCACTAGAGCATATTTCTTCCCCAATTTCCCTTCGAGAGTCGCAATGTAGTTTTCCCTTCGTTCCAGCTCGGTACGAGCCTTCACCTTCTTCTTACGAGGATCGGTGTAGGTGGAGGGGAGGAGGTCTCCGGGGAAGACCTGGATGGCAGTGAAGAGGGAGAGGTGACCGAACGAGAACATGTCCAGCGGAGGACCGTAGTGATCAGTGGAGGCCTCGGGAGGCATGTACACTAGAGTCCCTGGAATCCCCTTGGTCATGGTCTGGGCCAGCTGCCCCGGACGGAGAGTGGATATCCTGGAATTACCCAGATCTGCAATCTTGGCTGTCATGGTTGCATTGAGCAGGACATTTCGGGCGGTGAGATCTCGGTGGATGACGGCAGGGCTTCGGTTGTGAAGGAAGACTAGACCAGTGGCCACGTCGTGGAGGATGGACAGCTTTGTGTGGAGAGGGATGTTGGGAGTGGTCTCCAGCAGCTCGTCCAGACTGCCCTGCAGTCGCTCCATCACCAGAACAGGCAGTTGTGAGTCGGGCAAGAAGCAGATACCCAAGAACTGGACGATGTGAGGATGACGTAGCTCTGAGAGAAGGCTGCACTCCTTGTAGTACTTATCCACCATCACCTGCGCTCCCTACAGGGTATAATATACGTAAAACATACTTCCTAAAGACGTGTTTCAATCTCTTACATTATAGCTACCACTGCACTAAAGATATAGCTAAAACGCCAATCTAGGGTCAAAAGTAGTGAACATAGGCAAACCTGGTTCTCGGGGTCTATGAGCGTGTCATAGATCTTTTTCCCGGCACAGGTTAGGCCAGACATCTGCAGCTCCCACGACCTCACCGTACGACCCGCCGCCCAACAGCTTCCCTGTCGGAGTAACGTCGTGTAACAGGAACGAGCGGAGTTGAGGAGCTCCTTGAAGGGCTCGCCGTATCTGCTCCATGGGAACTCGCTGTCGAATGGCCATCGCGCGGGACTGACTCACTTAGTGCTGACGACCACGCCTGTTCGTGGACGGGAGAGTCGACTGGAATGCGCTACCGTAACGGTTTGGCATTTTCTCCAAACATTTTACTACATCAAACCACAGTTCACACTGCTCAGACGGCGCGCTTGCATAGCTATCTCTGCGAGCTTCTATTTTGCCCTCACAAGTTGGGCCCAAAGTGACTGCATTCGGTACCATTCTTCTCAAAGATGACCTCGGGAACAAGATGGCAAACATCAGAAAGAGGGTACGTGAAGACCCGGAGGAAATAGCAATGGAGGTTCTGAGGGTGGCTGACAGGAAAGGGGGTGGAGGTGTCGTGGGAGAGCCTCATAGCAACTCTGAGGGACTGTGGCCGACCAGCTTATAACAACGGCATTGGTCCAACTATCGTAAAATGCATGCAAACCTATACTGCACGAAACACGAAACACTAGTTTACAATTGTAGTGTCAGTGTGATTGTCTTTCACATAGTGAGCAGAATGTTTTAGAGGGACACACTTTGTGCGCAGACAGCAGGCGCGCAAGTCGACCGGACCGCACCAATTTTTTTGCTGCGTATTTCGTGGGTTGGTGCGCGCTGAACACCCACGAAAAAGCACTGAAGTGCAAACCCTCGGCGAACTGCGCTTGCGCGATACCGCTAATTGATGGGCTGGGCCGTAGTATGCGCGGTCTCCCGCTAGTAGCACACGGAGAGTCTGACACGGGCTAGTAGATAGCATGCGGGAGTCGATACACGCCCTTCGTTGTCACGTCTTGTGCCTCCAAGGTAGGCAGATCAAGCACATCTTGTCGAGGTAAGCCCGTGCTAATTTGCATATTGGCTTGTAACTTTTGAACGCTGTGTTTTTATGAAAATCGCCAGTTTTAAAATGAAGCAAATGTAGCGCCGAACCCGTTGCTGTAGAGTTTTGGCGATCTTGTTGCGTCTAGTGGCAGAAAACGTGAACGGACACACAGACACAAACCAAGTACAGTAGTCAGTAACCCTCGCTGCGCATGCGCGCCGAGGGTTGATACCAAGATAATAATGATGGGACACAAAATGGAATGAAACAAAACCACATTCAGCATAATTATGATTACTGCATTAATTCACTATTCACTGATATTGTGTATTTTTTGATTTGTATATACTGACATAATACACACATAATGTCACATCTTCGTTTTCAGTGGAGAAATTCGACACTGTTAGTTTTTACAGCACCCTTATACCCACCCACTACAATTAGGTAGTCCTCAGGAAGTTTGATCGCAAGGCAAGGTGATCGCTTGTTCTTCATCTGACTAGCCACATTCCAAGTATTGGTGTGCGAGTCATATCTATAGACATTTGAGGTGGGTTCGTGCCTCTCGAAATCACCGCCGATGGCTAAGAGGTCACCAGAGAATGAAACAAGTGTTGTTCGTGTCACTGGTAGGCTTTTCACTTCCTTCCAAAGGTTAGAACCTAGTACAAATGGTTGCCGCGTTTTGGAAGGTGAGATGAGGTCAGAGAAGGAGCAAGATAACACATTTTTTTGTATTCTGTACATTAGGGCACCTCTTTCATGAAGGTCACCAACCATACCCCCTGCCAGATAAAGAGTATCTTCGATTAGTGCTGCTGACAACGACATGCATTTCATAGGAAGAGATGAGGCTGTGGTCCATTGCTTGCTGTCTATGTTCATCACCTCTACGTCATCGAGGGAACCGCGATCTCCGAGACCTCCTGCTACAACTAGGTGCTGTTTAGTAGTGACACAAGCTGCACTGCTACGTGGTGTGGGCATGGGGGGAAAGACCTCAGACCAGTGTTTCTTAACTTTACCCCTGAAGCTGAGGAGGGTGTTGGTTGGATGTGGTTTCCTTCCACCCACACCAGTGAGAAGACCATTAATGACTGCCATGCCAAAGTTCCTGTTTGGGTTCTCTGGCACCTGAGACCACCATTGCCCTTGTTAGTAAGAGTACACCTTATCTCAGATCTGACACTGCTGGTCTGAAGTACACAGTGTTCCCATGCACTACTGCTGCTCCTCTACACATTGCCTCTGGCACATCTTTCCTCTCTGTCCACTGCTTCTTGGCGATATTTGGCTTCCGGTGTAAGTTGTATTGTGGCTGGCTGTTGGTATCCCCTGTCTCTTCTGGTCTTGGAACTGATCTCTGTGACGTCAGGCTCAGGATATGGGTGGTTGTCAGCGTGTATCTGCTGCGGCAGCTGTAACAACTCTAGCCTACTAGCTTGTAGCATTTCTCGTGTCTGCTGCAACTCTCTCTCTTTTCTCTGCAATTCCTCATCCCTTGTAGCTATTGCACACTGAAGCTGCCTATCCTTGTCCCTCAATGCTCTCTCTAGCTCCGGGACGCCTTGTGTCTGTTCCATGCTCTCCGAAAATAGCGAAGATGTTTTCAGCTCTGATAGTGTGTCATTGAGCTGCAAAGCTGAGGGGCGCTGGGTTTCGCTTGTTTTCAGACATTGGAGGGCTAGCAGCTTCAGAGCATGGGAGTCTGCGATCAACCTGAGGTGGGCCTGGCGACGCTCTGTCTCAGGAACGAAGTGGCTCCTTAAACTGAGGAACTGAAACTAATCTAAACCGATCGGTTGGATTGGGGAACTGCCTGGTCAAGATCTGGACGACTATAACACCAAAAGAGAAGATGTCGAGCTTATTTGTGTATACTTTAGCTTGATCTAAAGCTTCAGGTGACATATAGAGAAGATTACCTGGGCACAGGGTCAAGGCCGTCATGCGAGGATCGACCCTAAAAAGCTTAGACATCCCGAAATCCGTGATCTTTGCTCGAGGACCAGGAATCATCAAGACGTTGTTCCCCGTTAGGTCTCTGTGGATGAGACCATTGGAGTGTAGGTAGACCAGAGCCAGTGCTATGTCGTGGGAGATGTTCACCTGAGTGTGGTAGGACAGTGGTCCTGGGGATCGCTCCAGGAATCCTGTCAGACTTTCATCGCAGAGCTCCATGAGCAGAACAGGCAGTCGTGTGTCAGGGTCAGTGTGAGTACCCAGGTACTGGACTACATTGGGGTGCCTCGCTAGATTAAGTAGGTGGCATTCCTCCCGGAACTTACGAAGGTAGGAGGCAGTTCCGGGGTCACGCAGGTCAAAGAGAGTGGGGTGCATGATCTTGGCAGCACACAGCAGCCCATCACACTTGGCCTTACACACCCCTTCATATGATCCACTACCGAGACTCTCGGATTTGTAGAGCTCAATATTGCGGTAGACAAATTCAGTGTGTACCTCTGCCATGATAATTGAGACTCTGTGACAAAAAAAGAATTTTCACTCATTATATATAGCTATACTTAGCTATAAGATTCAGTCTCTGCAATAGGTAGATAGATATGCAGCTACTACGCACTTTCTTCAAAGAGTGAGTTAGTTGCTGTTGCTCTCCGTTCAGCTTGCAATGTAATAGCAGACAAGTACTGAGGCTACTGTACAATGTTGTTACACGCGACAGCATTTCCTGCGTGGGATCATGATCTGTAGCTAGCTATGTCGGCTCATGCGTATCGTGCACTAGGTTAGCGTTACAGTATTTAGCTAGCGCTAAAGATACTAGCAAGAGACCACGCATACTCATAGCAATTAGCGGCACCGCGCATGCGTAGTTCGCCGAGGGTTTTTCACGTCAGTGCTTTTGATTAATGAGGGTCTGAGTCATTCCTACTCTCCAGATATGGACACAACCCCTTAACAAAATTCATTCAGCTACCTTCCTTTAAGTGCATGGCAAACTGTACGCACATTTACCACCTCATCAATCTGTCTGATGTATTCTCTTGCTAAAAGAGTTAGAGTGTAAGCGAGCAAGCAACTCTGAGTATTGTTACACCAAGTGCATTATCTTACCTAAACCTCACTGCACCTGTGCATCTATGGGCTAGCGACGAACTGAGTTAATTGCCTCACCAAAGCAAAGCTTTAGCGAATCAATTATAGAGCAGTATAATTTTATTAGTGATGACCTTATCGCAGTAAGAGAGTGATTGTTGTATGGGCTACAGTCAATGAGTTAGAACACAACCTAATGAGTCCATGACCCCAGATTGAAAACAAAGACTTGGCCAGCCACACTTTTTACCAATAGCTTTTTTATTGATCATTCTGAGTAATATCATGATTGTCTAGCCCGTTAACGACTCAGAGGGAGAAAAACATACACAAACCGCTGTTGTTGATGCCAAAGCAAATTACCACTTCCTTCTTACGCTGAGCATCAAGTATGCGACACTCTTGTTACTAGGCGAACAATAATTGTCAGCTATTCACGTTGGGTTTATGTGTAGCAAGTTGGACTTTGCGGTCTATCGCTGTGTTGGTCGCGGCCTTTTCCCATGCCAGCACGCGTGTGAAGTGGTCCTCATCACTTCGATGACTCACTGCTAGCGTGCCGAATGAACCCGACACTCTCCGGCCAACGCCAAATGTGGAAAATTGCTGTGTTTACCATCAGCGTAACGGACGCATGTCAAATTTCGTCACGAAATCTGCCGGCCGTGAGTCACGGCGTTGGAATGTCGCGAGCACCCAATGGTTTGTGTATTATAGCTGTTTGGGACACTGCCTGTGTTGCCGTCTAGCGGTTTGTAGCGCGCACGTCCACAGCCCTCCGGCAGTGTTTACCACCAATGCTTGCGCACCGCAGCTCTTATTAAAGCGTCCATACGCAACCATTTGAAGCACTTGGGAAGAGCTTTTCCGTCTGAAACTTGAAACATGAGGCTCTGCGTATGTATCACAGTTGTTTGCTGTCGTGCAACTTGCAATGGTGTCCGTGTCACAGTCGCGAAGCATCGGACGCAGCTGGAACAGATGGAAAGAAGTAAGGAAGAGACGTCCGTTTTATGCGCATGCGCACGTATGAAGCTCGCCGTTGACGGCAACGGCAGGTTCTAGCTTAACTTGTGAGATGTAGCAGGAAATGCAACTGACAGTGAGTAGCAGCTAACTACAACAAATGAATGTTTTTTGCGAGCGAAAACGGCACGTAGTTAGCTACATCACGAAATAGTGCAAGAAGACTAGGTCGGCTTGCTTCGCTCATTACTTACGGTTTTTGAGGCAACAAACAGATCTACAATAATCATACATGCCTGATTTAGCCATTATTTTATTATGCTGTATTGTTTCTTCCTCCCGATCCTCTCTCAGCACTGGAACAGCCAACAACGCGTCCACCAACAGGTGACCAACAAGTGGAGGAAGTCTCCTGTGGCTATGCTTTTGAGAGTGTGTTAGGGAGTCGCGTGCTGGTCATAACCTGCTCCAGCTCCACCTCTGATGTGACCAGGATCTCCTATTTTGTCAATGGAATCCCCATCGAATTCGAGGTATCATAGACATAAGCCAAAAATTTCCTATGTGGCTTTGTATATTATACATTGTTGATAGCTATTTTGCAGTCTGAATCATAATTATAGTATAGTCCGTTATTCGTGGTGGCCAGAGAGCTCTAATACTATAGGCCCATAAGGAATATTTTAGGAAACATTGTGTAAAGTAAGGTACGAAAACCAGTGACCGTATTCTCGCGTCCGTTAAATTTGTTTGGCATTTGAATAAAAGGCAATATTCTGGAGGGAATAGGTGTACATAAGTAGAATGTTACCGTATGCTAACCTTAATGATTGATGCAGTGGGAAATGAAGTGAGGTTGAGTAGCAGCCAACTTCGTCAAGGGGCCAATACCATATCTCTGACAGTCTACACTTCCAGTGGATCGTCATCAACCATCTCACTGCCAGTTGACACATCCACTTCATCACCCTGTAAGCTGCTCTTTGGCGTAAGTCTGTACAATTTTAGTGCATGTAACTTTCGACGGAGAAAAAAAACTAATGCAAAAATTGCAGATGTTCTTGAAAAATCTAGCTACAGTCTATCATTGTGCATAGTTACACAGCCATTGCCAACCACTGCAGCAACAACAAACACACAGCACCAAGCAACTACCACGATGACCACCACTCAGCAACTGCCACAATGGCCACCACTCAGCCAACGGTACCACCAACACAAGGTGAGAGGTGGACACACAGTGTTTTTGACAACATTCAAAGTAAGAGGCAAATACAATGATGACCAATGGGTATTATCACACTTTCTGAATAAAGATAAACGAGAGCTCTGAGGGGCTAGTGTATCTGCCGAGAAGAATAAAACCTTAGTCAATCCTATAGAACATCTCTCTTTCTACAAACTCAAATCATGTGTTATTCCAATACATTTCTCGCCTGCCACTTTCTCTCTCCCTCTCCCTCTCCCAGCTCCACAACCAATCGACAGTGTCGCTATGAGTGCAGGGGGATTCTGAGCTCTAATGAACTGACTATCACCTGCGATGTTGACAGAAGAACTGACGAAATTGTCCTCAATCCAATATGATGTCAATGGAGGAAGCTTGCAGAATGGTATTAATAATGTCATTACCTTGTTTTACTGGAGTAAAAAGCTAATGCTTGAAAAATGGCTATTAGCCACTACTTCATGTTTTTATAAGGTAATGTGGTTAACAAACGATCGTCATATTTTTTCAAATTCTAGCTGACTCGGTCTCAAGCTTCAGTATTCCCACGAGGCAGTTCATAGATGGCGTCAATAGAGTTAACGTGAGAGTGACTCACTCGGTGTGTGGAGCAGGAGTTATGCAGCTCGAGTTTCAATACCAAAGACCTACTTCAGTTCAACGTAATGCAACCACCTTTTAACGTTTGAGTTGGAATTCTGCACTGTTTTGCTGTGTAGGGTGTTTGTATGAATGTGGTGGAACGCTCAGTGAAACAGACTTCACAGTCACATGCACTGTGAATGGTCGTGAAGATAGTCGCTCTACAATTGCTTACCGAGTGAATGGAGGAGCTTCAGTTAGTGGTAAGTAGACTTGAGTGTAGAAGCTGCTCATAATTATAGTACTGTGCTTTCTTTGCCTTTCTCTGTCTGTCTGTCTGTCTTTCTCCCTCCCTCTATATTATCAGCAAACTCTGCACCAACATCATCATTCCACGCGATGATTTACAGCTGGGAGACACAGGGTTGACATAACGATGAGTCACGCAGACTGCTCCCAGCCTGGATCTCTCGGACTTGAGTTTACCATCCAGCAGAGACCACAGCAGCAGCCGCCACCGACCTGACGTCTCTTGGCAGTATTGGTCAGCAGAATAGCAACGTAGTGCTCACCTGCTCCAGCACTGCGTCCCTGACTATAACCACTATAGTCTACTATGTCATGGAGTGCTGGCTGGATCCTCTGGTGAGCTCAACTAACAGTGTGGGGGTACTGCAGTACTGTGACAATGTTTAAGGACAGTCAGGGATTAATCTCTCTGAGAAAACAAGCACACATTTTTTGGATCCCCCAATAGCGTGTAGTTAGAATCGTGAGAAAACATTCTTTGCTCACCAATAAAACTATGCATGTACTTTGTGTAGCTGGTGGAGTGGCCCAGATTGCTGAAACTTTCTTCAGAGATGGCATAAATGACGTGCGACTGGTTGTAACAAAAGCAGATGGAACAACCCAGGAAATCACTATGACACTCAACATAGAGAGGGAGCTACCACGTGGTCCATCAAACCCAGGTAGAGATACCTATCTGTCGAAGGCTGGCAATTTTGAATATCTGCTAACTTTTAGGGTTATGTGTATGTGCATTTGATAATTAACATGTCCCATTTTAAGATACACCATAATATTATATTTGGCAGCTCTGTGATTTACAATTCTTGCTCACTTATCAAAAGAATGTGTTTCTTTATTTATCAGTTGAATAACAACTTGCTGTACATTGTTCTACAGGGTGCTTTTACAATTGCAGTGGAAATATGTAGAGAGGTAACGTAAATTTTGGTTTGTGTTCTTTTGTGCGATGGTTTTTTTGATAGTGGGGTTGCTTTCTGTTGGAGCCGTCCGTTTGTGGAGGCTTTCTCTGGTGTATTGTGTTTGTGTTGTGCGCTGTGTTTGTCAGTTTTACTTGTTCGGTTCTTGGCACCCAACCCTCTGTTCCCCGGTCTAGCATATCTTTATCTTTTCCAAGCATCTCTCCGCTCCCTTTCTATTCCGCTCCTCACCTAATTGTTCTTGTGGCCACTTTTTCTAAGCTTTTTACGCGTACAGTTTTTAACAGAGTTTATATTAAGACCGGCACCTCTCATCGTGCCTAGTCCGGAGTGATGTCGGGTTTCTGGGTTCTTCTTCGCTACTAAGATTACGGTGTAGACATGTAATGTGAATGTCGGGAAGATACCCAGTCGTCAATCGGCGCTACCAGGTCGATGGAGGAGCTGTCGGTTAATGGTAGGTGTGATTACTATGATTTTATAAAGGACAGGGCTAGGGCTGTAACTTTCGACTGTACTATGTACTTCATATAATATTCTATAGTTCTCTCCCGTTTTCCTCTTCTCTTCTAGCAATGTCGCCTCAACATTCAGCAAGTTATGACAGTTCAATTCAAGAATGGAGACAATGATAGTGAATACTCAATTCACCCACTCTGATGCTCAGTCCTGGTGAGTATCAGACTTGCGTTCCTTACAGGAGCTCCTACTCTTCTCTCCTACGTCACCTCCTCCACTACACCTTCTCTCCTCCCTCTGCTATCTACTCCACACTGCCACTTCACTGCCACCGGTTTTTTGTAGCTTAACCGCAGGAGGGTAACGATAGTCTCCAACTGCTCCAGCCACTCGTCTTCCTAGTCGTCACTATGATCTCTGCCTTTGTCAATGGTCGTACCAGTACTCTCGAGTGAGTTATCAGTTCTTTGTGCTGTCGTACAAATATAGGATGTGTGTCTTATAGTATCTGTTCACTAGGCCTACAATCTGTCTGTTGTTGCCGCATAGATAGCTTCTGGTTGATAATGCATGATGCGCCCCTCAATCAATTCATTGACAGTTGGACGTGTGCTGAGGATCAGTGAGCTGCAGCTGAGGGAGGAATGAAATGAGGTCATGTTTGACCGTCGTGAGATCAGATGGGACATCGCAAGTTATCAACTACAGTGTCAACATCGAAAGAGAAGCAGTTACACTACCACCTGTAGGTATGTTACACACTGTGATCATACAATGTGTAAAATCAAAAGCTGCAGCAATCGTTTTCGACATTACCTTGCATTATGTGTGGGTGATTTATGGTCCTTCATAGCTGCATTTTTGCATGGGATGAGGGTTCATATTTCTGTTTCTCCACAGTTTGTGAGGTGAACTGTTCTTATCAGTTGGTCGGAAATGAGTTTGTTTTCACCTGTGCGGTATCTGGTGACTCTGCAAATCTACTGTCAATCAGCTATTCTTTGAATGAGCAGACCCACTTGGTAAGCAAATATTGCTCCGTAACTTGGGATAAAGACGCACGTTACCATACTCTTAATCTCTCTGCAGTGAGTACTAGCAGTTCATTCAGCATCCCACAAACCCAGTTCCTGACTGGAGATAACACACTGACCCTGACAATCCTGATCACCTGCATGGGACCTCAGAACGTTTCAGAGAGATCTTCGAGTATCATTGCAACCTACTCTGCCACCCGCTACTCTCCCGCCGAGTCTCGAAGCATTTAGTGCCCGACTCTCAGGGATTCCCCATCTAATACGCCACTCTGGTGCCAGTTTTCCTCTCTCGGCAACGTTCACGGTGGACGAGGCAGGAGAATATCTGAGTGATCAGGTGACCGGGACAGGGACGCAGAGGGTGTTAGTGTTACTCTACTCACTCAACGGAGGACGAGATTCTTACGAAAGTAAACCTCAGCAAATAAAACACAGTCACTATGACTATATAGGTTTTTAGTCTCATATTAGTGTTTTGGTTTTTGTGGTATATAGACTTTACGAAGTAATAAGTACATTATTGGACTATTTTAAAATCTAAGCAAGTGTTTTGCTTTTTTGTGGAAGAATAGCTTGTGATTTTATTCCTTCTCACACTTATATGGGCCGATGTTAATGCATATGCGCCACTTTCTATTTGGGGACACAGTAAGGAGCCACAGGGACCAGTTGAGGGAAGGAGAAACACGTGACACTGACAGCCCGTCAGTAGTCTCCGAGAGACTGTGCTCATCAACAGCACTCTGGGAAGTGACCAAAGTCAGAGCTACTCCGCCAGCCCCTTCACCCTTCCTGGTCAATAGCTGCAGTACAGGATTAATAGCTAAAACTGCTGAGGAATACCCTTTAATGTTCTGTCATAATATGTAGCCTCACCCCCTGTTGTAGAGTGCTCCTTTTGTTGAATGCCACTGGTGACACCTCCTTACTTACCATAATGCTGAAGGTGAGAGTCGGCCAGATAACTATGCCTCTCTACATGAATAGTAACGTGTGCTCTTTACAGTGCTTTCTCTTCCTCCTGTAGTGTGTGATGTGCCACTGCAATGTTACATATGAAGGCATGCCATTCGTGTAGTCTGCCATGAGAGCTCTGATATGCAAGTATCACCTATGAGATCAATGGAGATGGAAACGACACAGGTTCGAACATAAATCCGCCATCTTTGTTGTTGCTAATGTACTCGTGTTGCAGTTTCGTGGTTCAGAGTGTGTCATTGATGGGGGTCTACTGACAACGGAAGTGAATGATGTTGACATTTCAGTCAACTGCCACTCTGGAGGGGTTCTATCAGTCGTCACCAGCTGGGTATATGCAAACACTACCTTACACACTACACGATTTGTTGGCAAGTGACAAACACCCCACCTAGTCCTTTTGTTGTGGTGACTCTGTTACCAACAATGTGCATGCACAGTTACTGCACATCAAGTACAGTACCAGTATCTACACAAACTCTGTATTATAAGTTTCGTTCGTTGTATATAGTATAGCTAGTTGGTTGCATATTTTTCAGTTCAACCGCTCACTCTGAGGTGTCAGTCAGTCTCAGAAGAAGTGGATGGTGTGAGGATCAGTTGCAATAGTAACAGAGAGTCTTCAGTGCTGATTAAACAATGCTACATTGACGAGAACTCTTCTGCAAAACTGTGAGTAGACTCAAACTGAAATCGGTTTTACCACAACATGATGTGACAGTTTGACGTAAGGAATCTCTGGCATGAGCTGTTAGCATGTCATTTAGACAGGTTATCCCAGCCTTTTAGCTCTTGTGAAGATATGCTTTGTACCTGTATTCCAGCTGGTGGCTCACACTCACGCACGTAAAGAATTGCCCCCCTGTACCTTCCTATTTCTCTATACAGTTACATAGAGTAATCGGGACACACTATGCACAGATGTAGCAGGTTCAGCTAGTATGTTCTTTACAGAGCCCTGTTTATGCACAGGTGACATGAGTAATCTCTTGAACTACTCAATGCTCAGTGGCCAGCGTACATTCAAGATGGAAGTGACTGATGACAATGGCCTCACTGCTACTAGTCAGATATCATTTCTATGTGAGTCCACTATACACTTTGCACACACTTAAAACTAAAAGTATGTATAGAATACAGGGGCTGCCAATAACTGTGTTACTTATAAGATAGATTTTTCAGAAAACCTCCCAATTGAATCTGAATGTAAGTAAGGTCTCCTTATTTCAGGATGTGCATTAGATTTGGTCACACCTATTTTAGTCAGGTCGGACATTCTGTTGGCAGCACTGTTTATCTGCTGTGTTCTTGTCTACAGTCAAGTTTCACAATCTGCTGCCAGGGAACATACAACTCCATCGATGATGTCATACATGTGTCATGTGACTCCAACAGACCCATAATTACATCTCAGTACGAATCAACAACGGACCTCCCACACAACGTAAGTCTTAAGCTATGAAGATAAACTTTGACTTTTTCTCATTCACTCAAAGCTATACATTATATTGCTACTTATCTGTGTCACCTTTGTTAATTATCACACAGGGAGTCTACCATTTGATGCTGCTATTAGTGACTGTGATCGTGCAGAAGCCACATTCAGCTCCTGTGTTGAAGCTCAAGACAGATACGGCAATGAAGATTCTAGTGACCTTACCTTCTCCTGCTGACTCCCAATACCTTGAACTGCATTTTATTAACTATTCTTCTTGCTACAAGCTATATTGGCTGCATTTTAGCTGTATATTATATACACCCTTCAAAAAAAGATAGATATAGATATTGAGATATTGATTTATTATGAAACTGAGTTGTTTCAGTCACTAAATTACAGTTGCACACATGACTAACTTTTGCACTACTTTGTTTTTATATAATATACACAATACAAGATACATTATGTGCTGCAAGTTGTGAAGTTTCATGAAGTCTTTTTATGTCAGTATTCTAGTTTTCAGCTTTACTTCTTGTCCACTCTATATAAAATGTAAGCATAACAATCAAGAGGAGCTATTTTAAAACATGTACAGAGGCTCAATAGCAACAATAGTAATAATTCAGAGTTTGTACAGTATGTTTTCTCCATTACGCAACATAGGTACCTAGGCACCTATGATCAATAAAGATTCCAGATGCTTTGCATATGTAACTACCAACCCCTGGTTTTTTTTACATGGGCCATCTCAACAAACTGTCAGTATAATCTTCACTCCCGTAAAATATAGCTATTAATGACTCACAAGCCAACAAAGGTGGCGGTGGGAGGAGGAGGAGAGAAGGTGAGCTCCTGAGAGTCAATGTTTCCAAACTCATCCTCTGCCTCCACCCTCAGGTGATAGAGCCCGTTGACAAAAGTCCTGGACTGGACACATCGTACGGTGTGGGAACCTGTGTGCATACAAATAGCATGTGTGATAATTCTATATCTAAAAATGTGGCAAAATGGGTAAGTTGCTGAGCTGCCCTGGCTAGGGTCAATGGTAGAGCACTCTGTCTAAAGACCCATATGTGCGTTCCCCATACAAATCTCAAATCGAACAGAGGGTTTTTGGGTTACGTCCCACCAAGGGCACATTTTTCTTTCTTTCCTCTTTCTTGAAACAAAGTGTTCCCTTGTTTAAAATGCACTTGCCTGGTGGCCTAAGCATAAGATTATGAAGCAGGATTCATCCAACAGAAGTTCAAATTAAAACAACACACGTACTGTATGACCACAGCAAGGCACTAACACTGAATGGTCTCTCGTCCATCGAGGTCGCAGGCGACGCTTGAAGAGGTCTTGTGGAGTCACATGCCAGATGCACCACGTCCTGCGATGGATTGTAGGCTCCACGACAGGCAATGTCCAGGTCCTCTGCCCAGTCAAAATAAGACGGGTAAACTCTAACTTTTATGGGGTAGCTAGTACCTTCAAAGTGGACATCACACTTGTCGACCAGCCCGTCGAGATCCTCAGCAATGATGGTGAAGGTGTGCAGACCTTGGCTTACATCTCTGAACAGTACCATGTTGGACGGTCCACTGTGAGCAACACAGTGTTGATATAATTATACTTACGAAAAATCTGCTTGATGGATGCATTATACGTACTTCCAGTTTAATGTGGCTGCCAATACATTATACAAGTAACTATCAGCATGACCATCAAGAGCATCAGTTAATTGTAGAGCCAGTGCAGTAGTGGATCATCTGTGGTATCCGAATGACTGATTTTATGTGCGTACTACCATACGTATGATTGACTGCACTGCTATACCATTAATAAGTGACAGAACTCACTGATATTAATGCTTAGGTGCGTACTACCATATTATGTATGATTAACTGCACTGCTATACCATACACAAGTGACAGAACTCACATGTTGCTGTGGAACCCCATCGAGAAGGCAGTGAAGATTGACTTCCTTGTTGGCTCCGGCTTGGACAACAACACTTACGTTGTTAGTCTGTGTGAAGCATTCGAAATCCAGGGGCTCAACTGAAATTAGGAGAAATCGAGACAGACATTATGGCATTTAGTCAACTATTGTAAATGCAGATACATGTAAAGTCTAGATCACTTCCACTAATACTGCTAGCCGCTTCGGAAAATACTATGTACTTCACAGGTTTACTTTTAGTATACCCCAACATGCGTACTCATGCTTCATTTCATATATAAGTGAATCTACCACACAGCATTGTTGTATGCCCTCACTTGCACTACTGCTGATAGCTGTGAGTGTCTCCACGCGGAACATGTGAGTGAAGTTCTTGGAGCGGCCGTCCTGAGAGTTGAGGATGAGCTCTAGAGAGTATTCTCCATCGGAATACTTGGCAGTACCGATCTCTGAGTTGAGTTCACCTGATACAGGCAGTGGTCAGTGTGTGTGTGTGTGTGTATGGGCGAGTAGGGGCAGGGTGGAGTAAGGGTAGAAGCAGAAAGACGGGTGGAAGGCAAGATGTAGTTTTTAACAGCAGATGTCACAAGGTGAAAGCAAATGCATCATCTATCCACTGAGTAACAAAGTGCAGCGGAATCGGTATGCATGGGCTCAAGTCCACAACACTTGACAACTCAGGTTTTGAATAGGAACTCTAATGATAGGGGTTCACTCACAGAGGCAGTCTTCCAGAGGTACTCCATTGACGAGGCAGATGAGAGAGACTCCGGGGAAGTTTGCAGTGCAGCTCCAATCAACGATGTCGTCAAACTCATCAGTGTCTATCTCACAGGATCCAACCATTTCAGCTGAGGTAGAACAAGAGTGTACAGCAGACAAGAAGCTAAAAGAGCAGGGTCATAGTTGGGGTCATAGTTGCAAATGTTTCAAGGTAAAAAGCTGAAAAAACTTCACAAGATCTGATGTGAGTAATGAGTGTGACCCTTTTGATCTAGGTAAACCTGCAAACACATTGTCATAAAATATGAAAGTAGCAGAATTGATTCTGAGTACAATCCTTGTGAAATAGTTGATTTTAACTTACGGATTTCAACGTCGAAGGTGACTGCAGATCTCTGGCCACACTCATTCACCACTGTCATAGTGAGGGAGTGGTTACCGGGAGGGAGGGAACTGACGTCGAAATCCAGTGAGCAGGGGACAGACTCCCCTCTGAGGAGACAGTCTGTGTAGTCCAGTCTCTGGTCTGAGTCACAGCTCACAGAGTAGGTGCTGGAGCCCAGTTTCAAGATCCCTCGACACATCAGAGTCTGGGGCAGATTAATGAATATAAATATGATCTGTCTGTTCTTGATCGTTATGTATAGCTACACCCCCTTGAAAGTAATAGAGTAGGCAGGAGAAGATAGATTCTTAATTGAAAGTCTTAACTATTTCCTACACCCAAATTTTGAACTAAAGTTGGGAGGTGGGATTTGCCCAACTTCATACACATATGCAGCCACTGTAAAAAAACAGACTATGGCAAATTTGCCTAGTGTCAGATTATAGCTTAGCAGATTTCAGTGTCAGAGCAAAATCTTGTATATACTGTTGTGAGAAGACTTACTCTCAGTTGAGAAAGAGAGCTGGTTGCTGGCTGAAAATCCATATATGTCGCTAGCAACGACAGTGTAGCTGTGGTGACCATCATCAAGATCAGAGAACTGCAGCAGAGTTACTCGATCACCTGCAGGAGAGAGCGGGAGAGAAAGAGAGAGACTGCTAATGATTTTGTAGAACCTCTAGCAATTGGAACGGTAAGTTGTCACGATGATTTTCAACGTGCACACAGATATGCCTCAATAATTGGGATCATGATCTCAACCAGTGGGAGTATTAGGCTTCAGGTCCACACAATTTTCCAACAGCTGACTTTTTCGGGAGAGCTTGCTAGGTAAACTTTGGTAAAATATTTTCAAAGTTAACTAAAATCAGGATGTAGGGGAAAACTCACATGATTCCTGGAGTACATTGTCAAGGTAACATTGGAGCAGAGTGTTGTCGTGGCGGCGATTGATGGAGCAGGAGAACTCTATGCCACAGTCCACACTCTGTGAGGAGCACATCATCCTCAGTGGAGGTGCTGCAGAGGAGGAGAGAGAGAGAGAGAGAGACTGGTTGACTGCCATTCTATATAACGCCATCCACGGAAACCTTATTGCAATTTGTTAAGTTCTACAAACTTTATTAGAGTTTATGTAGCTACTGCCTCATTCCCTTTAAGACCACGTCTACGTCGCACCTAACCAATATGGCTCGCTCACCAATCTCCACCCTTGTGTCAGCAGCGAGTCCTCCGGCTGAGGTGAGAGAGAGGTCGATGGTGTTGACCTCCTCTGTCAGCTCTCTGGAGTCCAGAGTGAACTCTGAGACTGATGGAGCTGTGTGGACCCACAACACAAACAGGAGTCAGAGTGACACAATTATATTATGAGTTTCAAACATACGGGCAAGGGTTTAACGAAGTATGTTTAAGACCAAGCACTAAGAAAAAAGTACACACAGTTTTGTTTGTCTTTGTTCCTGAAGGCCATGATACAAACTTTTTGTGTGAGACAAAAATGACAAACCAAGCAAAAAATTTTCATTGTGTATATACCATGCCCTTAACCAAAATTAACCCAAAACAGTGTGATGACTATTTAGCACTGAGCAGCACTCCAGTTTGCTATTTACCTCTTATTGGACTCCCACCATTCATGGAGTAGGATATTGCTGTAATTGGAGGGTCAGACTCGTCCAACTTTGCACATCTCACCTCCACGAGGTTGTTGGCAGCATACTGGGCACCACATGTCACATGGAAATCTGTGACAATACAAAAACCAATGCATTCACAAGACAGTCTCTTTATGACTACTGAGAGTGTGTTCTGTTATATATGTGAGCCTTGTCCATGTTGAAGCCCTTATATAAGCCCACCCCCCTCTCTTCATAATTATTTATAATTGAAAGCGTGTCAGCTGTTTCGTTCACATTCATGTAGGAAAATGATTGCCAAGTCCCTCAGAAGTCTTCAGCCTACCTAGCTATGTATATAGGAAGAGATAGAACTGCTCACCAATGGGAGAGTGGGAGACTGTGGCAGTGTTTCTGAGTACAGAGTATTCCGCGTCAGCTGTCCCTCCACTGAGACCGGTGGCCTGGACCACCACAGTGTTCTCTCCATCCTCCAGAACATTGTCAGTCAGAGTGAAGCTTGACCCAGTCAGTGCTGTGTGCAAAAGAAAACGACGATGCATCACACGATACTGATGCCTAAGATGTAAAGGTTGGCAGGATTTTTTAACTCTTGAGTAGGTATTTCAGCTATGGTAAAGAAGCCTTTGTAAGGGATACGTGGATCTTGAAAGTACTGCACAGCAGAGTAGTCGATGACAGTGGTAAGTTAAGGTGTCTGAGAGATTATAGGCAGACAGAACTAGCTAGCTAGACCTCATGCACATGATAATAAGTACTGGTAAACTCACATGTTAGTTGGGGTCCATTGTTGACTGAGTATGTGTACCTTTGGACCACAGGTGGACATGAGAAGATACGAGTCAGAGCTGGCCTCAGGTGGGCAGAACAGAACCTCTAGAGACCCTGCACAAGTATACTGAAATAAACTTTTTCAGCAAAATAGCAGTATAAGGTTTTCTACTCTACTGTATATGTACAGATAATAAAGTGAGTATAATGCGTATGTGAGTGAGTGATTGTGTGGACAATGTTGGAATGGTTTGTCATATCTTTATTTCAGGGAGTGTACAAATACTCAAGAAGGAATGACTGAGACAGAGACCTAGGGAAAGTGATAGCACAACAGCTAATAGGAGAGTATAGCTTTCTGCCTTCATTATAGGATGGAGCTTCTAGGAGGCTGTCAATTACCATAGGGGTAGCTGCTGTACACGAGCCACTTCCTAACACAGACAATCACGATGTAGTCATTATATATGAGAATTATCTTGAAGTCGGTCCACCAGTGAAAGTCGAGGGAGGGGAGTCGATTGGATGGAGCAAGGAAACTGAACAACAGTGATGTCCCTGTGTAGTCATGAAGAGAAGAAACACTGATATCTGCTGGGTTATTGTAACACATTCCTGTCATTATAAGTGGTTGATAAACCAACCAGACATGGTAAGCTAGCAAAGGCAAAGTACATGTATTGTGAATCAAAGGGCTATAATTAAGGGAGACTACCAGCAATTATGAATAGGACTCCATTGATAGTGATAATCGCAAGCAATAAATTGAAGGGCATAAGTAATAAACTTTTGAGGTGTTTGTGAATAAACACGATGCTATCTGTATGAAGTGGTGAATTTTGTTTCTTACCGGGGTTGCAGGGGTAGGGTCTTCCATTGAGAGAACATTCAGTAGTGGTAGGCAGTAGATTGCTGGTACACGAGATATTGTAAGAGTTTCCCTCCAGGCCATAGTATCCAACACACAGAACCTCTGCAGTGAACCAACAATCTTGAAATAGCGTATGAAAGAGCTAGCACTATACATGGAATGTGGAATGAGGGTAACTATGTACAGGGATTGACCCACAATGGTGAAGTCATTGCATGGTGACTAGTGGAAGAGGCATGGGAAACAAGGTTTCAGTATCCCAATATTATCGAATAGAAAAAAGTTAGCACCAGCAACTATGTAGCTAGTTGTGTAACCATCGTTTCTACTTGTCACTGAAGTGCCTGACCTGGTATTCGTCGCTGGATTGTGATGGTGGCTTGACGAGTGGTCTCCCCATCCTCTCCAGTCACAGTCAGTACCACCATATTCTCTCCCACCTCCAGCTCATCGCCTGGTACCGTCACTCCTGCTACTGAGGATGCTGGAGACACGGTAAGGGAGGAAAAGTTGCCGAGGAAAAAGGAGTTACATAAAGGGAGAAGGGACAGAAATAAAGGTCTACATGTGCTGTAGTGTTGGCATAGTCAGCCTCGAAACTTAGAAGACTTGGTAAAATGAAGGCAGTGACGAGTGTTTTTACAAATACATCATTGGTGGTTGTGAATAATTTACGTGATTGCTTGTTGTTAGCAAAGTGAGAGAGAGAGGATGGAGAAGCGGATGAAAAAGTCTAAATGGAGTGCGTGATAGGACACTGACCATTACAGGTAGTGTGTAGCTTACAGGTTTGAGGTTCTCCTCCATTGATGGTGTAGCTGATGCTAGAGATGGACTGGCTGTTCCCGTTAGTTGAGCAAGAGATTAGGAGATCCTCTCCCATCACCTCACTTGCCTCCCGGTACTGACAACCAACCTGGACTAGATAGAAATGATGAAAGAGAGAGCAAGAGATCAGAGGGACCTATGTCTTGCGAATGCTTCCATCATTTCACATCTTCACTGTAGATACCATATCATTCACAACTGCAGCCAGGCCTGCTAATACTACAAACTCTAATTGTCTGAAATCCCATTGTAGGGCTTCTCAAAGTGTGTAATGTACACACAGGCAACACAGCTTGAGCCTTTAGTAAACATAGTTTGTTAATAGCTGGTGGTCTCATTGCATGGTGTGATGTACGAGAGCTTGGTCTTACGTGGCACTGTTCTCTGGAGTGTGATGTTCTGCGTGAACCTCAGCTGGCCCGGGAACAGGAACAGAATCTGCACAAGGTTCTGGCCTGGTAGTAGCTGGCTCAGTGGTATACTGAACCCACTTGCTGCTCCTGTAAGTGCATCCATACATGTTAACAGTTTTGTAAGTATGCAGCACAGCCCACATACATGTAATATCGGAACACACAGACTATGACATTCATCTTCAAAATTTCAAAACACGTGTTCAAAGTCAGCTTCATAGCTGCTGAAGCCAAGCAGTTGTTACTACTCAATCTAACCATCTGAATCTCATCCAGTATATAGGGATTCCTACTGCAGGTATTCACGCAAGTGCGTGGGCACACTCAAGACCACAGTGGGTGTTTTTAACAATCACTGAGGTCCATACATACTGTACACACTGAAAAAAAGCCTTAACCAGTGAGCTGTAAACAACTTCTACATCACTGATGGTAACAGCTAAGCAAGTGGTGCATTATTATGTGTTTAGTGTAGAGGAAAAATTACGGAGTACTGAGACACTATTTCCCCCCCTATTACCTTATAGGTATTGTAACAACATCAAAGCCAATAATTTCATCATCACAAATCCAATTTCAAATATCCCCATAACACCTCAATCTCTTGCCCTTGCTAGCTGGGAAACGGAGGTGGGTTCAGCCAACAGAGCCACCTCCGGAAGTGATCATGACACACAAGCTATCGATCACACAGTCGACAAATATACACACGTACACCAGAAACTGTGCAATGCCAGACTGTTGTTATAGGGTGCAATAGTAGAGTAATTGGACTATAGACCTAGGATTGCCTGAGGTATGTCCATCAGGAAACTTTGTGGCATTGATTCTTGGAGACTCTCTTAGAGATTAGTGCACCTCACAGAGACACTAGTCTCCAGCAGATCTAGGAGGACTCATATTTGGTCTGCCTCCAGCCAATTGATGTGGACTATAGCTGCCCTGCTGCCAATGGCTTCCAGTATCATATGATGCCACTCTCTGTTTTGGAGTAGGGCCAAGCCTTGGGGGGAAGCTGGCCACAAACAGTACACCCACAGCATGCCACCAGTCATCAATTCAAACTGTGAGTGGATAACACCACATGGAAAACAATTACGGATGTGGCCCTGGAGAGCAAAGTGATGTCATCTGCGCAGCAGATGGCCCAAACTTCGCATCTTAGCCAACACTGCCTGCGCCTCGATTCGTCCACTAAAGAAAAGGTTCCAGAAATGGTCCACCGGGGACTACTGTTCCTGACCCTATTAGATGAATGGTAGTTTCTGAGCTCCCCAGTCGAGCAAATACTTTCCCATCATGCTATACAGAACCTCCTTCAAAAGATTCAATGTCTGTATAACCTTTCTACAATATATTGTATATACCACCTTTCTGCTCTGACAAGCGATGATGTCAACTCTACAGACGAGATATAATATATACATGAGAAAACTGCTTACCAACATTCTGACGGCCAGAGTTGATTCTATAGAGTATGATGGAGATGGGTGGACTTCCTGCTGTTGGGACACAGGTGAAGATGACTTCACTCTCAGTGGACCGAGGGAAACACCTCCCACCAGCTGAGGAAGTGGGCGTAGTAGGTGGGCTCATTGTGGCAGGTGTGGTGGGTGGAGCCGCAGTAGTAGGTGGAGTTCTAGTGGTGGGTGGAGCAGCAGTAGTGGGTGGAGCTGAGGTTGTAGGTGGAGTTCTAGTGGTGGGTGAAGTCTGAGATGTGGGTGAGACAGCAGTAGTTGGACGTGTGGCTGATTCACAACCTGGTGAGTGAATACAGAATCTCAACCTCTTCTATACCCTATTGGTTTTGTTTATTGCTAAGCAATGATAATTTCATAGTAAACAATCTCTATAAATATGTGCATACATTGTAGGTGAACTTATTACCCCGGAATTAGTATCTTTGAGATCCAAAGCAATTTTCCCAACTTGTAGCTAACAAAGGCTCACCTTCTTCCTTCCTGAAGGGGAAGTAGTAGGGAAGAGTGGCAAAGCCTCCAAGGAACTCTGCTCTGACACTGATCTGAGAAGGTGATTTGGTCTCCCTCATCCCACTTAGATCCACTGACACCACCAGACTTCATTACCTGCGATTGCAAAGTTGAGAAAGAGGTGAAATGGAAAGGAAGATCAACGATCAAGAGATTTTAATTAGGGCACTCTGAAAAAGGAAAGTGTGTAGTATATTATATTACATAATGTATAGCTACATCAGTATAAACTTCTTTTCTCAGAGTATACGTATTGTTAACTGGGCTGTTTTACGGATGCTTCTTATGTGCTATCAAGACTTTGGTGTATATGATTATAGTAAACAACATAATGTATGTATACTCGTCCATTTACAATGCTGGTGATCGGGTTCTTCATCCAGAGTGCAGGAGGAACACTCATATGGGGAGGTTGGTGTTGCAGGTAGCCACATACACACAGCCCACGTGCTCCCCACTGCAGCTCCACTGTAGGGCCTCTGTGGTTGACAACATTATTAATCCGTGGTGGCTTGAAGGTTGCAACAGATAATAGTGATTATAATAGACTACAGACCTAAGGCAAGGTCTTATTGTCAAAGTTTCTCCACTAACATTATTCAGTGATACAACTACGCAGCATCAGGCATCATACTCGTTGCTTTGCTGCAGTATAGAGCATTCAAACGATGGAGAACAGAGTTCTGAACTACGAAACTACGTCTTCTCCTCGTCCTCAGAACGGCAGGTCCGCTGAGCAGGAGGCCCGATGCGCGCGCAGCCATTACCATGTGAGGTAGTAGGGCGAAGCAGAGACAGACGAGCGACAAGTGTCTTCTGAGCCCATTTGGGGTCATGTTCAAAAAACTGGCTCCGTATTATTCCGCGATCTGTTTTGAGCGCGCACGGGCGCCTGGCCGGGACGGTCTGCGCAGGATTTGCGCATGCGCGCTGACGATTGACTCGTTCTTGCGCTACTCATGCGCATCGGAAAGAGATTACTCGGCGACGGTCTATGGAGAACAGCGGGCGGCCGAAGAAGCAACTACTTACTCAGGTTGGTCAGACGAAGGATGGCATGAGACGGAGGGAGGGAATGAGACCCCCGTGGAAATGTAGCAGCAGCGCAGTGGGGCACGAGCACTGCCTACATTCACACATGAACGATAACCAGTACAAACAGTTCCCACTGACTACCGTGTACTCCTATCGCTGTGTCTCGAAGAGGAATGGACTCGGCTACCGATAACCCTGTCGAGGGTTTTGTCTGTAGTTATTGATGGTCTCGGATATGTGGGTGGCTTGAAGAGCGGCGGTCCACAACACCCTCTCAGTCTCACAGGGGTTGGACGTGGAAGGTGTGGTGTCACAGATTCCCTCCCATGCCCAAACACCACGTAGCACACAGCTGCGCTAGCATGAACAGGCTCTGATAGTTGCTGGAGGGTCGTGGACAATATGCCTAACGCCGTGGAAGTTATGAATAGTGGCCACGAAGCAGTGGAGACCCAGTTGCTCCTCTCCGGAGAAGTGTTGGTTGTTGCCAACGCTGGTGTGGTGGGACATTCTCTATAGTGGGAGGAGGTCTGGGGACAACGCGTCAGCTTATTCAGTCTTTAGCTGCCCCTCTTACTGAGCTCCTCGCTTCGTGTAATACACTGGATCCAGAGTTCCGCGAGCACTTTGTGTCGAGTCGCAACGGTGGAGACAGTCAGCAGTTTAGCAGTGACAGACTCGACACTGGTCTCGTTCCGTGGTGATCGGCTGCTGGCGTGGGTGGAGTTGATCATTTGCTCAAAACTCGACTGCTGTTTTTCTACAGATATGACCCACACACTGACTCTTGGACTGTGGCTACTCAGATGAATGAGACAAGAACAAGAGATCATTACTGCTTTTGCTTTGTCAATCTTACACTGATGGCCCATCCTGGTGTTGTG